TCTTTCCTGACTGTCTTTCCACTTCTAGAGCAAATTTCTCAGTGAATGTTTTCGGTGTGGGGTCCTCCTCCGGCTGTATTTCCCTATCTTTCCAAGCTGTCATAACTGTTGGACATGAATGCATCTGCTCCTGGCTCAAATCCTAAAATCTGGGTCCTTTTCAGTGGATATCAGAACATCAGTGATCGGACTGATCTTGGCCATCTTTGTGGCAGATGTAATCATAGTGGGGAAACAGCAATTGCAGGATGAGTTTGGCTTTAACTATTTAAAATATCTTTAGGATGGGATGATGCACCCCTACAAGTGCTTACGTCTCTTTGCTGGATATTCTGGGAGCTGGGCTGGTGGCCCATATGTGCACTGCAGTTGTCTGTGTATATTCATGTGAATCCACCCTTAATCTCTTCACCAGCAGCGAGGCTACAATTTCCCAGTCTCATTATCCCAAGCCAAATGCAGTGCCTGCATACCATCCCCCACGTTATTCCTGCTTAGGACAGGCCCCTGCATCCATCGGGGTCAGTCAGATCAGGGAATGGACACAGCTGCAAACTCACTTGTCAAGCAGAGTTAAAAAAAGGATTGCTTTTAGAGAAATCTGTGCCCTGATCCCAAATCCTGCACAACCACTGGGCTGTGCTGGAAGAGATTGGGAACCTGCAGTGTGACATGGGGTGGAAAGCTGAACCATATCCTTGGACATAGCCTGCATTTAGGTTTAAGGGTTAAAGCAATTGTTATTAGGAGTCCTAAGGATAGCAAAACACAAATTCCTTGTTTTTAAGACCCAGCTATACATGTATCTGCTAGAATGGTTGTAGATTCCATCCTAGAGTCCATGGATGTATGCAATGACCACTCGCATTCCCAGCAGCTGCTTTCTGCAATTCCCCAAGTGGGATGAACACCACCCCTTTCACAGCTTTAAATCTGTTTAAGATCTGAAAATAGGCCTGAGGCTCCAGTCTTGCCTTGTGCACAACAAATGCAACAGAAAGAAACCCGTGAGCTCAGCAGAGTCCAGCCAGACATGTTTGTAGGCCGTACGTAGGAGATCGGGTCCTGTTACTAATACACACAACTTGCTTTAAACAAGCATCACAAGATTCAGAGACTTTTAAACAGAAATCCTCATTTCCCATGCCTGCCATTGGCCCCAGAAAAGTCTGCAAGCCTCATTTCCATGTGGAGAAGAAATGCTTTGCCCGGGTCCTCTGTGGCTGCAATCGATGAGGAAGGGGTTTCGTGGAGAGCATCACCTCTGTTTTGAAATGAGGTTGTTCCAGGAAGTTTTGGGAGGTTCTTGGTTGCACTGAGTCTGGTATTGTACCAATCCCATCAAAGACTGTTGATCCTGCCCTTCCTCACCCTCTCTCTCCACTGCCTTTGTGAGTTGTTGCAGATGGGGTGGCTGACTATGGAGAGAGGGAAAATTAAATGGCTGTGCAAATTCCCCTCCTTTTCCTCTCCCTCCTCTGATCCAAATCCTCATAAAAGGAGAGTGTGAGAAATGTTAGGTGGCACCCAGAGAGGTTCTGAACTTCCTCCTTCCTGAACAGGCTGGTTTGATTTTCTTGGAAAAAACAGCTTGTATTGTCACCCAAAATGAGTCACACAAGGGAGTTCCCTTCTGTATGGTCTGTGGAATATGAGGAGTCAGAGGACAGAGAGACAGGGACTCCAGCCATCACTACTGGTGTTCAGGGTTGCTCTTGAAATCTGCAGGAAGGCCTTGAGGTGTGTTATGCTCATGTGCAGGTCTCCACCAACTATACAAACAGATCTCTGCAGGGTCAAGACCTGCCTTTTTGGCTGGGAGATGCCTTGCAGGGGGTGAAGAGAAGTTCATACCCTTCAGCTATAACTCCTCGTTCCTTTCCCTCTTGGTGATGCTGATCCTGAGATTATGAACTCATTTTGCAAGCACAGTTTTGCCTCAGAAAGGAGAGCAAGCTGGAAATACTCCCTCTGACCTCGAGAAAATGAGAGTTTGACATTTTGAAAGCAGCATCTCAAATCCTGAAATATTTCCCCTCTCAGTTGGCCCTCATTCAGTCAATTGCCATCTTTACTGTGTCATACAAGCATCCATTTTCATTCAATTAAAGGCAAAAGCATAAATCCCACCAAAGGCAGCTGTTCTCCACTTGGATCTTCTGCTGACTGGGAGCAGGAGCTTGCTTCTTTCTTTGTCCTTAACCATAATTGATTAGGATATTAAGGGTCTTATACTTCCTAATATAGTTTGGGAATTATTTCCATATGTTGCATTATTCTCCAGAGTGGGCAAAGCTCCCCTGTGCCAGCAAAGTTGGGTGCAGTGTTGCTGAACCCCAATTACGCTGTGTTTAAAGTTTTACTGGAGGAGAGGTTGCAGGTGGCCTCTTATAGAAAGCTGCATTTCATCTCAGTTTTCAGATACCTTATACTATCCTTTCCACTGGGAAATTAAGCAGAACTCTCCATATCCACTGCAGCTGTTTCTAGTGTTAAATTAAACTGCTGCTATTACAGTGAGCCGTGCTGGAGCTGAGCTGTGTTGTTCCTTAATTGTTTGTGGCTGTGGATACCAGCCAAGCAGCAGTCCTGTAGTGGCAAACGCTGGAGATAGGACCTGGAAAACAGATGTTTGGGCCAAAGCCAAGGTGGTTTCAGGAAAGACAGCGAGAGAGAAGCAGGAAACCAGTTATCTGTCTGATTTATCGGACAGGGGGAAGAAATTCACCCTGGGGCAGAGTGCTCACAAGAGGCTGATACAGCAGTAAACTCTGATTTTAGCAAGCTTTAGCCTGCCTTTTAAGGCTGATATGGGCAGCTGTTGGTTTGCCAGTGCTAACACTGGCTGTGCCAAACCTACATGCTTTGCAGCTGGGTGGAAAATTCTCACCTATTTGCTGGGGGCTGCAGAGCATCTTGTGCAATAAACTAGTTTATGTGAAGTCCCAGCATAAATCTTTTAGATCTGATACAATGAAGGGATTTTTTGAAATTTAATTGAGGCTTGAGGAATCTGATCAAAACTAGATCTTACAGTGCTTTATGTGAGCAGATCGTTCCCAGGCATTCCACTTTGCTCTCAAAGGAGGGAAATCACACGTTAATGGATTTCAGAGTCCCAATTACTCTTTTTTCCTCTCTCAGGAGCCCAGGTAACTGACTGCCCGAGATGGAGATAGAGATGCTGTAGACATTTAGGTCTTGGTGAGGTCTGTCCCACCCATGTTTTCACAGAATCACAGCCTGGTTGAGATTGGAAGTGACCTGTGCAGGTCACCTTGTCCAGCTCTCCTGTTCAAACAGGGACACCTGATGCCAGTTGCCTAGGACCATGTCCAGTGGCTTTTCAGTATCTTCAAGCATTAAACATCTCTGGGAAAGCTATTCATGAAGTGCTTGATTGCACAGAGCCAGAATGAAATATTGCACTGGAGGGGAGGGAGGGGTAGTCCAGCATTTAAGATTAAGGAAAGTTTTAAATGTCACTGCTTAGGGGGCTGATCCACAGATCTGAACAGGTGTCTTGAAGCACATCCAACCTTGATTTTTGGAGCAGTGATATGTGTATTTAGCAGGACAAGATGCTTTCACAGTTTTAACTACTCTGTAACTACATTGATTTCGTTGAAACATGATGAATGTCAGCTCAAACCTTCAGCCCTAATTTTATTTCTTTAATAGTTGAGCCAACAGTTTGACCACATTTTAGGGCTGAGGAGTCATCAAAAAACCTTTGGATTCCTTTAGCAACACTCGTGGTTTTAGATTCAAAAGACGTGGATCAGTAATTCTGAGTAGCACTGACTTTTGAAAGGCGGGTTTTGAAAGTCCTGGTAAGGGAATGCTTACAGCTCCCCCTGCACTTCCTCCTGCTCCTGCCTGTGGAACAACAGGTTCCTAGAGCCAAAGCTGTAGAAATTAAGGATTTGGAAGAGGATTATAATCTTCTATTGCCCAGTAGTGACTAGAGGCATGATGCAGATGTTTTGACTGTTGGCCTTAGTCTTTGGCCGTCTTTAGCTTTCCATACTGATGCTATGGAACATACAACTCCTTGAATTTCTCTTCTGCTGCCAGAGACCCTTTGATTTGTTTGTCCTTTTGTCTTTAGACTAAGTAGGCTTCTTATTTTTTGCAACAAAGGAAATGTCTAAATAATTGCATCACACAGAGAGGAGAAGTATATATACATATATGTCTTTCTGTTGAAGAGATTTTTCCCTACTTAAATTGATCAGTTTTCTCTGTTTCTGACAGTTGAGGTAGAAAATTTATCCTTTTTGTGCCATCGACCACTCATAAACCACTCAGTGCCACAAATGCTTCTCCTTATAGGCCTGCCTGTCCTTGAAAATTTAAATGCAAGTGGCCCTCATCCAGAGGAGAACAGGATCATCCTAATCTCCTGTATGCAGCTCCAGCAGGTGCTTTGCCTTCCCCTGAGCTTCTGGGAAACTGCAGAAGTGCTGGTGTTTTCCTGGTTGAGGGCGATGCCACATGCAGAGGTCCATGACCCATCATTCTTGGGGATACACAGTAGACAAAAATCACAGGATTATTTTCTCTTCTTCTGTTCCTCTCGGGAAAAGGAAGTGCTATTTAACTGCACAAACCCATTACACCCATCCTGTCTCCCCCAGAAACCTGATGGTTTTCCTCTCTTTTAAGAGCAGTGTCCAAGAGGGTTTATGACTTTTTTGCTGTTTTCCTGAAAACTCAGCCTGGTTGGTAGCTGACATACCCAGGAGCTCAAAGGGGAAGGAGAATCTTCCTCTGTGGTTTATTGTATAGACTGGCTTTATGTAGGGTAGAAAATTTAGGGAAACCTCCTGGGAAGCCAGAATCTCTATCAGAGAACACCTACAGTTGGCTGCATGGGCCATCTGTGTCAGAAAGTGCTGGAGTGTGAGTGCTCAGTACTTGTGAATATTTGGGCCAGAAGAGTTGATGTTTCAGACCCAGCACTAACTGTAGCTGTTTGTCTTCATTTTATAAAACAGGAAGAAGGAAGAAGATCTCACCATATCCAGGGCACAAGTGAAACAACAACCTACTGCCACCTGACCATGCACTGACACAAAGTTGTTCTGAGTTTTACGGTTGCCCCAGATTTTTGTATAAGGGGCTGATGGAAACTCATTGCTCCACACTTCTGGGTAAGAGAGAAGACACTCAAGCAAAGGGCTGCATCTTGGTTTCTCCAGTTTTCCTCTCTCCTGGATGGTCTTGCCTTCTGTCTCCTTGAACAGAGAGTCAAGTTTTAAAGTCAGCCCAGCCAGAGGAGCAGTTCTCCTCATTCCTTCAGCTGAGAAAATCTTTTCCATGTTGTCCACAACTGTGATGAAAAGAGAAGCCCCTCTCAGACACTGAACTTGTCTGTCAGGAAAATACTATTTACAGGTAAGAAACTGCCATTTCCAGCAAAAAATATGGAACTTCTTCCATGTGGGACTAGAGAAGCTGCCCTAGGGATAGAGCATTTTTCATGTGTAAAAAGAAAAAGAGACTTGGGCTGCATCCCACACCACAAGTTATTCAACTTTTTGCTGTTGAACAGTATGTCATTGCAATATATTTGACAGATAACAGCTGGTGATAGGACTGATGTCTTTTAACTCTGGTGGTCCAAGACTCAGACATCTGCAGCTGAGTTTCTGGTGCCTCTTGCTCCCCATTGAGTAGAAGAGGAGCCAGGAATGACAAGCTCAGAAGTTGAAACAAAAGTTGGGTGGTAAATCGCAGTTCTTGGGCCCAGATGGCACCACGATGGGCATTAACTACAGCAGTTAATGATTTCTGGTTTCACTGAACCTTCTCTCTGAAAGCTTTGAAAGAGCCCACAAAGAATACCAACCCAAAGGTTTTGTAGTGTTTCCTGGCGTCTTGATTTTATATGTTTCTATTCTCAGCTGCTTAAAATTATCCCAAAGTACTGTTTTATTGGTGGGGGGTTTTGTTTCACTGTCTATAGACTGTGGTTCATACGAGCTGAATTCTCTCTTTGTAGCTTCACTTATGAATAGGGGTCAGCACCCAGGCAGTTGACTGCTTGAGATCCTTTCCATGCTGTGTATAAATAGCACACAGCTATTTCACAGTTTCATATTCATCTTGCAGGCTTCCAGCACCCTTGTATTCCCAAAACTCTTCCTATCCCACAGCATTCGGGTTCTTGAACGTGTGACTCAAACTAAATTACAAGCAGGGGTTATCCCAGCCAGGAAAGCTCTGATTTGGCTCCTGTGTGTTCTTGTTCTCATTCCTGACGGTTGGTGTCAAGCCATGAGCGCTCAGAGCTGCTCCTGTGGGTTTTCCAGCCCTGGGATGAGCTCAGCTCCATGGTTAAGCCGACGGCTGAGTTACGTTACCTTGCGCACGTTAAGTCAGTCCCTCGCCTTGCCGGTCAGTGGAGGAAGCCAGAGAGTCTCCAGCTCATGGATAACTAACGGCCAACATCCCCCTGTCCGGCGGAGATAAGAGGCTGGTTAAAACCAAGGGAAATTTCAGACTGTCTCCCAAGTGTCGCCTGTCTTTTGTTTGACACAGGACTTGTCATGTCTCCCTTCCTGCGTATTGGTTTGTCCAACTATGACAGTGGCCCTTACCTGCCATCCCAGGGGGAGGTGATTAACCCTTACTGTGCTGTGATGGTGAAAGAAGCCGTGGAGTCAGGTAAGTGGGGAAGTGTTAAATGTGCATGGGAGCTTTTATAAGTCATGTGGGTGCCTTCATGTGTCATTTCTGGTGTGTAGGAAGCATGTTGGTAAAACACAGAGTGAACTATAAAATAGTTTGGCTTGGGAGAGACTTTAAAGATCATCTAGTTCCCCCCCTTTATGTGGGTTTGTGAAGCCCACCGCCCTTTATAAGGGTTGTGGGTGAAGGTGAAGTCCTTTTTGTGTCTCAGCACAGTACAGGTTTGGGTTTGGCGTGGTCTGCAAGACAATCCGATTTTAAGCTGATGCCCAACAAATCTATGTCTGCAGTTTGGGGTGATTATCAACTACATTACAAGTCCCAGCATGTGACAGAGCAGATGAGCTGAGCTGTATTTGGTTTCACTTTTCTGTGAGCAGTTGTTGGTTTGTCAGTGGGACTCCAGACAGATGAAATCTGAGTGTCCTAAAATATCCTGGCAGGGCCGTCCATGCTTATCATATTTTTCTGGAAAACTCACAGGTCCAGAGACTTCCATGGTTTCCAAAAAAAAGGCACTTGAACAGCCTGGTCTTTGCAGAGGGTTAATTTCTCTGTGTAATTGCTGTGCTGTGTAAAAGGTTTGAAAGTGAAACCTCATGCAAAGCAGTTTTCTCTGTCTGGATGTAGGGATTGTTGCACACTTTTCCTGATGGACCAACACTGATGAATCCTCATAGGGAAAACATTTCTTATATGTCTTATGCATGAAAATAGTCCCAATGAGAGGATGAAAAGTTCTTCAGTTGTGCTTTTGAAGAATCATGAGGAGCAAGACTTTCAGTGTTAGGGAATTCCCTAACACTGGTGGTTATTTATCTTAAGTCTTTGATAAATTCATAATTTGACTACTGTGATTCTTTAAAAATGAAGTCCACTCAGAAATCCCTTGTTATTGAGAATGCCCATGACTCTAATTCCCAGAGGACGTTACAGTAGTTTAAAAAAAGAAATTAGAATTTCAAAATAATTTAGTATTTCACTGGAATTGTTTGTTTGTTTTAAGAGTCAGCATTTATCACATTGAACTTTTTCTTGGCTTAAATGTTATTTTAAATGATTATGTAAGATACAATTACCGGCAAATTCTAAAGGAAAGAAAATACTGTATGACAAAATATCCCTAAGATCTCAGTTTTAACTGAAAATACGTCCTCTTTCAACTCTGTGCAGCTCTTGGCTGTTTGCTTTAGTGAGACCTTTGAAATCCATAACTCAAACTGAAGTCTGTGTCAGTTTGAAAGTGGATAAAATCAATTTGGTCAGAACAGACCTATATTTATTAGTCCCACACAGAGCTGAAAGTGTTTTCTGTTGTGTAAAAAACACAAAAACACTTACCAAGGGATATAATTTTTGTGCTACTCAGAGTCAATAATCATAATTATTACAATAATTATAGATATTATGATGATTATTATAATAATTCCTCTACCAGCAAGAAATAAAAAAGTGTGTTTGGGGGGAACTGTCCTCCATTAGTGAGGACTGAATATAGGAAAAATGACATTCTAGTATTAGAAGATTTCTGTTTGCTGGGGTGTTATTTCATCTAGTGATTGCTCAGAGCACGGTGGGGCAGCCAGAGGGATTCCTCATCACATCAGTGTCAGCAGGAACCTCCTGGGAATGATTCACCTCAGACTCCCCTCTTAGGATGGGTTGAACCACCCTTGGCAGGTCTTAATCTGCTGCTGAGGGAGGGTGTTTAAATGTGTAGATGGTGAACTTTACCTTCAGGTGACTAAAAAAAGACGAGGCCACCATGGGATCCATCTGCCCTATAATTCCAGTCTCCTGCAAGGATATTGATGTCTGAGCAATTCAACCACCAGAGAATTATAGCTCAGGGGAATAAAGAGGGATTTCCGCGGTGGGATTCATCTCAGCTTGAGGAACACATCCATAGTGAGTGTGATGAATCACACCCTAGAAAAGCCCAGTGCTCTGTGCTGACTGGACAGTCCACTCAGGGGTACACATCTGACATTCAGAGAGCTCAGCCTGACTCTAAATCCCAGAAATGCTCTCAGCATGAGCATCCCGAGGAGCTGCCATGCTCAAACAGGCTTAGAGAAGGCAAAAGGTCTCCAGACGAACACTAGCTGAATATATTTGAAGTAGAATTACAGGCATCTTTCCCAACCTTAATAATTCTAAGATCATCAAGTCCAACACTGCCAGTTCCACCACTAAACCACGATTTTTTTTTTAAATCTTTTTTTTAAATTTTTTTTTCCCTGCTTCACGATTTTTTTTTAAATTTTTTTTTGCTCACAGTTTGCTCTCTGGTCCCTGGTTTCACAAAGCACTTGCTATTCAATAATAATGGGATTAAAAACAAAGTGGTTCCCTGATATGCAAATTTTGGCTAAAATTTTGCCATGAACAAGGAATAGGAGTGGATCAACTGCACAGCTGGTAAGAGATGCAAACCATCCTGACCCCCAGCCTTGTGCTCTGGCACTTGGACTTTAGGATTTCTTCAGGCCAAATGATTGCTGAGCAGGGCAGGACGTGCCTAAACCCAGAGCTGAATCCAGGATTGATGCAAGTCGCAAATCAAGCTCTGTGCTGGAACCAGTTTGGAACATGACTTTGCTGTTTCTTTTTCAATGTCCTGTTATGGATCAGATATATACATATATGCATATATATGTTATATATACCATGTATTAGGAGGAAATTCTTTGCTGTGAGGGGGGCTCTGCACAGGCTTCCCAGAGAAGCTGTGGCTGCCCCATCCCTGGAAGTGTTCAAGGCCAGGTTGGATGGGACCCTGAATAACCTGGCGTAGTGGAAGGTGTCCCTGCCCATGGCAGGGAGGTGGAACAAGATGATCTTTAAGGTCCCTTCCAGCCCAAACCACTCCGTGACTGGGGCTTTTTGTTTGCTTGTTTGTTTGCAAACAGAACTGTGGTAGATGATAAATGTGTTTGGTTTCCAAAAATAAGGAGTTTGACTTTGGGTTCACGCCAAAGGCTGTGCCTTGTTGTCCAGCCATGATGGAAAAGTCACTGGGACAGAGGTCCACAGGGTTTTGTGAGTAATGCACATTGTCTGTGGGCACAGGGGTGTCACAACAAGGCCACCCTAAAGAGTTTCAGAAGCTCGGGAAAAATCTTGGACGTCTTTTTTGTTTTGTTTTGTTTTTCCACTTGCTTATTTTATAAAAGGGACCCTGTTTTTTTATGTGGTGTAAACACCACAACCCCCTACACCTAGAAGTGTTATAGCAATTTATTACTGATGACTAAACTTTTCAGAGATCATATGTGCCTCTGAGGTATAAAAAAATCTGCCCTTTAAAAGTGGCTTCTGCCTTCACAAACCACCTGGCCTGGTGCCATTTCACCACCTGCCTTGGTGACATTTGCTTCATGAGAGATCCTGCTCCGTGTTTGAACTCAGCAAGCCTCCAGGAAAAGGGCTCCCAGCTGTAGTGGAAGCTGCTCCCCAGGAAAGAACAGTTGCTATTTTATTTTTCAGGAACCCAGGGTGGTTAGATTAATCCCTGGCAGAATTCCACAGCCGTCAGCGGGGATGCACCAGGGGTGACTGTCTGATCCCATATATCGGGCAGTTCATCCACATTCCAGGGTTTGTTTGTTTAAGCCTGGTGTTCTGGAGTGCAGCGCAAACGAAAGCACTTGTTTTGCAAGTGCTGTGTTTCACATCTGTGGTTTTTCACTGATGTAGCAAAGAAATAATGGCCCTTACTGAGATTTCTCTTCTCGGGGGTACTGGGAAGTTTATGTCTCATTTTTATCTCTGACTTTTTGGGCTTTTGTTGAAAGAGTGTGGCAAATATATATTTGCAAGCTTGATGTGAATGAATTAAACCTGCAGACAATGAGTTCAGTATATGATTGCCTCAATCTGTGAAAGGTCAACCCCACTTAACTGACAGAGGTGGATTTGCCTTAGATTGAGGAGCTCTAAGATTTGGGAAAATTGAATTTCTGCCTAAAATTTAGCTGCACAGCTGTTCATCACAACCAGGCAGGACAAGGTTGAGAAGTAGTTTTATGCTGCACGAATGATCTGAGGATCAGATCAATTCTCCCCAGGGAAGTAGTGGAGTCCTTGAAAGAGTTCAAAAAATGAATAGACGTGGCAATTGGTGATATGTTTTAATGGGCAAGGTGGTATTTCGTTGAAGGTTGCACTTGGTGATCTTGGAAGTCTTTTCCAACCTGGGTGATTCGGTGATCTCAGCTCATTTTTGCGATGCAGTGCTGATGGTCAGAGCCTAAAGCAGCTTAAATCAAACTTATGTGATGGAACCGAGTGTAAAACTACAGGTGTTGGGTCGTGGAGTGAAATTTCAGCAAGTCAGTGCTGATTGCAGGATCCTGCAGGCCTTTCCTCAGGAAGCTACATCTCAACCTAAATCTATCCAGTGAGTGTAGTTTATAGAAGCTCTGGCAGCCCTTTCTCCAGTGTACAGAGTGCCCAAGGGAAATTTTTGTTATAATCTCACGGCCCTGATATTTGTTCTTTTCCCAGTAAACATTCTCTCATTTCCTGAGGTGAATATTACACAATCATGGATTTATTCTCCTTCTCTCCCGCTTTCAGTAACTTTGGAGCTTGTTTACCAGTTTTAATCTCTCCTAAAGATGTGGTAAAAGTCTCAGAAATCCTGGAGTTCCTGCCTGTGTAAATCAAAGCTGAGCAGAGGAAAGAAAACTGAATTAGTCCTCTCATCTAGAGAAAAATTTTCTCCAGCATGTCACCTTTCAGGCTATCAGCTGCATGTTCTTTTCCAGCTGGGTGGGATGAGGGAAAGGCTGGGATTATTGGAAATAGGAGCACAGTCTTTGGCAGACAGGAGTCGCAGGCCTTCTGCTCACACAACTGCTTTTTATTCCCTTGTTTCTCCAGCTTCAGCACTTGATGGGTTGACAATTTTCAGAGGGTGACTGTGATATAGAATTTACCTTGAGTAAGTTTCCAAGACTTTTACAGGGGTGTAGGAAATAAAACTGGCTCTATAAGGCAAATAAATCTGGCTGAGACTTTTCAGAGAGAAATAACTACAGAGAACTCTCTGCAAGCCTCAGAGACAACATTTTTACATATCACCATTTTAAGATGCTGTGAAGGACGAGGAATTAAAGCATGAGGAAAAGTGTGCTTGGTTGAAAACTCTGCATCCCTTTGGAATGGCTGCAGGTCAGCAAAACAGTTCATATATTAATATCCCTTAGTTAGCTACTGACTGGACACGTGCTCCAGCTGAACCTTAATCCTGAAGTGCACCCAGCTTTTGGGGGATTGAAGCAAACCTGTCTCATTTTACATTGGGACAGATGATCCACATAGCTGGTTATCTGTGATGATTAGAAGTGGGTATTTATGGTGTTGGAGTCTATGTAATTGGTCTACTCAATAGATGAAGTCAAGGGTGGAAATTACCTTTTCTAAGGTAGATGTCTGTATTTGGTCGGATGAACTGCCCTCAATCCATTGATTTATACTGATTATATTCACTGGCTCTGAATGACATCAGTGTTAAGACAGCCCAGATATGGGCATACACATGGTAGACATCTAAATTTAAGTGAGATTAATCCCACCCTAAGCTTCACTTCACATAGAAACCTCCTAGGACAGTCTAATGTGGTCCATTACACACCCTGCCGGGAGAGAGACTTTAAAGTGGGTAAATAACACAGATCTGCGTCACAGGCTGTAGAGTGGTGACGTTATAGCAGATGAGAAGCAGGTCCAGTCAATCCAAACCGCTTCTTCTTGACAGAGAATGGCCAGGTGTATGTGCAGAAGAAGCCCACCATGTACCCACCCTGGAACAGCACCTTTGATGCCCACATCAACAACGGCAGGGTCATGCACATCGTTGTCAAGGACAAAAGCGCCGAAATGGTTTCGGAGACCACGGTGGAACTCAAGGTGCTGGCAGAGAGGTGCAAGAAAAGCAATGGGAAGACAGAGATATGGGTGAGCATCGTTATCTTCCCTTGCAGGATGCAATGGGGGCTGCTGCAGGGTAGGGGAATACCTTGTGTCCGTGCCAGGCTGTGACTGTCCCCAGCAGGGCAGCAGGAACTGGCTGCCGTCCAAGGAATGATGTTTTGAGTCTGCCTGGGTGTGACTTGAGGGAAAGACCTGTCAGAAAAAAGGAGCGTTGCACATTTATATCACCTGCTGCTGCTGTGTTGAAACATGCCCTGTGCTAGTGAGGATTCTGGTTGAGGTGAGCTGTGGCCACATATTAATCTTTGCTGAGGAGACCCACTGGGAACAAATGGTGATATGAGTGGCTAAACATGAGTTATTTTATGTTCTCTGGGGAAGCAGCTTTAAAAATTTAATCTGATGTCAGGAGACTGATTCACAGCTGCCAGACTTCAGAGTTATGTCAGAGGAACTCCTTTAAAATCGCTACAGTCAGAGTGGAGTAAACTTAAAGCAACAGGCTTCGTAAGGATGCTAAATGTAAGGGTCTGTTCCCCGCTAGTCCGAGCAACAAAGTTCTTGAGAATAGTATTTAAAATGTGATATCTAGTAGTTGTGAGTAACAATGAACTGGAAAGACATTTTGAGAGGAACTGATATAGTGGACTTTTTTTGTTTGCATTATTTCTCATGCCAGTTCTTAGGCTAAGCTGCTTGGGTTAAGCAGAGAGTGGATAAGTCAAAAACGCCTGGGTCACTTACAAGCCGTAAAAACAAGATTTGGTAGAGATTTTCACATTTGGATTTGGTTTGATGCCCCAACCCTGGCAGTGTTCAAGGTCAGGTTGGATAAGGCCTTGAGCAACCCAATCTAGTGGGAGGTGTCCCTGCCCATGGCAGGGGGAGTTGGGACTTAGATGGTCTTTATGGTCCACTCTGTTTTAAAACATAACTTTGAAGGAATTTTGACACTTAGGGATGGAATTTAAAACTAAAAGGCTCTGCTGAGCATGACTCCAACCCCAGTAGCCTGGTGGGTGAGGGAGAAAGGGAGCACATAGTCTGGAGTGGTGAGCTGAAGTGGATTTGGGGGACCCTGGTTCTGTTGTGTCCCAGCCTGGTGGCCTCTCCTCAGATCTCTCCACTTACTCCCTGATACAAGTTACACCCTGGGGAGGGTGGTCCCAAGTATCTCATCCTCCAAGGGTCATGAGGAGAGACAATGTAATTGTTTTCACTTTTCTGTGCAAGGGCACTCTTTGATCTGGAGGTTAGAGAGGTGACCCTGCTCGGGCTGTGCTGGAGATTGGGTGGGGAAGGCACTGCTGTGGCTCTCAGCCTGAAGAAATCCATTAATTTAGGTCTTTTTATACCTAGACAAGTGGATTCAGATTTCCAAAGGCACCTATGGATGGTGACTCAGGTAGGTAGGAATTTCCAGGTCCAGTGGAAAGGTCAAAAAATGTGTCTGAGTAAGCTGCTAGCATCCCTCACATTGACTGCAGTGAAGTTAGACTTGCAGAACTCAGTGTCTAAAATACTTCAGTATCACCCCTCTGAAGGCTGGGTTTTTTGAACTTTATCCCATTTTCCCCTTGCAGGATCCATAGGGAACAAGTTTTCTCTATAGATAGAGCTGGTCCTGATCTGGTGTCTAAAAATCTACCTTCATCTTCTGTGGTTTAGTCACATTTATCTTTTCTATCATGATGCTCTGGGTGTTTTGATTAGAGGTGATCTACCTTACTCTCTCCTACCCTGGGTAGGAGCAACCCTAAAATTAGTATTCATTGGTATTCATCAATTCCCACTGGGAAAAGGAGATAGCTTGAAGTCATCTGAAAGGATGAAGTCATCTTGAAATTATTACCATCTTGAAGTCATCTGAAACGATTCTTCCTTCTTTGAATGACTGTTTAATGGTCTTTTTTTCTTGTTTTTCACTTATGTCAACCAGCTAGAACTGAAACCTCAAGGGCGAATGCTGATGAATGCAAGATACTTCCTGGAAATAAGTGGCAAGTGATTTTGTTTGTTAATTGACAGCTCTCTTTCCTCATCTGTGGGTCAGATGTGGTGTCTTCACTAAAAGCAGTGCCTATGTTATTAGTGATTGATTCATAAGAACTAACATAACTATTTGAAATGAAAACTCCAGAAAAGCAATTTTTACTGTGTGATGGGGATGAACACTGACTGTTCTGTGTTTTGCAAGGCAGATTTTTGGCCGTTTTACCACTAAAATGGTAGATTTTCCCATAGCTTTTCCCATTATGCTAAACAAGACAGAATAGAAACATAATGAGCCACTTCCCTCTCAAATAATTCTACTTTATGTACTACAAGAAAGACATTGAGGGGCTGGAGCGTGTCCAAAGAAGGGAACAGAGTTGGGGAAGGGCTTGGAGCACAAATCTGGTGAGAAGAGGCTGAGGAAGCTGGGGGGGCTCAGCCTGGAGAAGAGGAAGCTCAGGGGAGACCTTCTTGCTCTCTACAACTCCCTGACAGGAGTCTGTAGCCAGATGGGGATCAGTCTCTTCTCCCAGCTAACAAGCAATAGGACAAGAGGAGATGGACTCAAGTTGGTCCAGGGAAGGTTTAGATTGGATATCAGGGAAAATTTCTTCACTGAAAGGGCTGTCAAGCCCTGGCACAGGCTGCCCAGGGCAGTGGCGGATTCACCATTCCTGAAAGTGTTTAAAAGACATGAGCTGTGGCCTTTGGGGACAAGGTTTAGTGGTGGCCTTGACAGTGCTGGCTTAATGGTATAACTTGATGATCTTAAAGGTCTTTTCCAACCTCAATAATCCTATGATTCTATACATGTGAGATGTGCCATGATGTGCATTATAGTGCAGATGTGAAGGCTGGGATAGAATTACAGCTGACAACACCTGAGTGCACTTGTTAGTGGAACTTTTAAGTCCGAGAGCAATCCAGGCAAAAGAGGAAAAGAACCTAGAGAGCGATTCATTTGATTAAATGCAGGTTTCTGCTGCAAGGTGAGCTGAGCCTTTCACTGGGCTCTTTGCCTGCTCCAACTAGACCTCCAGGGATGTGTCAGCAGCTTGGTCACCCTGGATAGGGAACACACAGTCATGGGCAGGTCTTCGCTGGGAACCAAATCCCACCTGCGGAATTTGATGTCCAAGTGAAATGCATTTTGCTTTCTTGAAGAAAATGGGTTGAATCTAAATGCTTATTCTTCTGTCTTTTTGTTGCCAAAATTCTCACACCTTCAGGGTGAAGCTGTAAGATGTAGATATCTAGAAGGATAAAAAAAGTATTAAAAACATAGAAACACTGAAATCAGACAGCAGAATGTCCACACTGATGTTTTCTTAACTATTCCTACCTTTAATATAGACTAGACTGTTGGTGCCTCCTTATGTGTTATAAGATGTCAGAGAGGCCAAAGCATAGGATATCTAAGTTGTGTTTGTGTTACAAATAGCAAGAGCAACATCAGATCACAGAGGGGACCATTTTCCACATATTACCTGTGTAACTTGCTGGGTAATGTGTAAGTGAAACAAAACAGAGATTGAGAAGGAGATCCTGTGTGCATTTGTAGACACAAGCACACATATAAGCACATATGTGCATGTGAAGTCAGAACTGGTTTGTTTGCTGTTCTGAAAAGTTTAAAGGTGAACTGTGAATAATGGCATGGACACAGCAAACAGCAAAGCAAATGTTGGCATTGAAAAATAACAAACCAAAATATCCTAGGAACATACCTATGTGCACCTGCACACACACGTACATGATCACATAAGGGATTCAGTCAAATATCCACATATATGGATATATATTGGTGTATATATATACACACACACACGTGAGTTTGTGTGCATATATAAATAATTAATTATTTTAATGTAATTTCATGCTTTTTATGGCATGGTTCTTTCATTCAAAGTTAGAATTTTATGTTTGAATTATCTCTTAGGAAGTTTCTGGTCTGCGTTTCAAAAGCAACGTTATGAATATTCAAGGGAGCTCAGGATCCCAAGTTTAAAGTAATTTTAGTGTAGGAATGGTAGATAAAAAACATCCAAAGAAGCATCCAAACAAGCCTTGTGTGGGTTTCATAAAATGATATTTCTTTAAGTGTTCATTCCCATGAGTGAATCATCAGCTTCAGTCACTTAGTATGTTGGCAGCTGCATGTTCTCAAGGCACCTGATCAGGACAAGGCACCCTAATAAATCTTCTGCTTCCTTTCCCCCAGATGCAAAGGACCTGGCTGACTGTGAGACTGAAGGTTTCTTCTCCTTGCACCAGCGCAGGGGAGCCATCAAACAGGCCAAAATCCATAATGTCAAGTGTCATGAATTCACGGCCACCTTCTTTCCACAACCCACCTTCTGCTCTGTCTGTCATGAGTTTGTGTGGTAAATGAAAATAGAGCTATGCTTTTTCTCTTTTATCCCCAGAGAACTGTTCTTGTGTCATTGTAGCACTTATGAACATGACTTAGTGTTGGACTTGGCAGATCCGGGTTGGACTCAATGATCTTAAAGGTCTTTTCCAACCTAAAAGATTCTATGATTCTCTGATGAATATCTGCTCCTGCTGTCAGACCCTTGACAGCTTACATGTAGTTATTGCATCACTTCAAGGATGTGGTTCATAGCTGTAATCCCAACTGTAAAAATTCCCTTCATTTTTTTATTATTTACAAATATTTTAGGGTTTGGCCAAATGTGCAGACATTTCTCATCAGTTCAGTTTGCTGTTTGGATATTGTGAAATTCAGATTGTGAATATGTTCTGAAAAGGCTGTGAAAACCACAGAGAATCACTCCACCATTAGACTGAATGAAGGCAGTGAAATTAAATAAGCTCTACAAAGACTGATAAAAAGCAAAGTGATTTTACTGTATTCATTAATGTTACTCTCCTTTCTTCAGCTGAGGCTTTCATCAACTCAGAATTAACTACTTCTCTGTTTATTTCAGGGGTCTGAATAAACAAGGCTATCAATGCAGACGTAAGAAACTTTTTTTATTTTCTTATTATCATTATTTCCCTAATCTTTACTTAAGGAATTCCTTTACTAACACCATGACACACTTGTTGTTGCAGAGTGTAATGCTGCCATTCATAAGAAGTGCATTGATAAAGTAATAGCCAAGTGTACAGGATCAGCAATCAATAGCAGAGAAACAATGGTATGTATTATTATTAATGTTATTATTAATATTATTGTTGTTGTCATTTATTATTTATTATTAGGCTGCTTTTAAAAACTTGAGTGTAATTCAGGTGTTTCTATAAAACAACTTCTGATGAAGCAAAAGGTCCTACTGAAACTAAAAACTGTGTAATCAGATCTGAGTCCTTTGCTTTTTATATTCCCAGTGGTTTCATTACCTCCTACTTAGGATTTACTCAAATGCAGCTGCTGAAGAAGGCAGTTGCTGAATCAGAGCTGACATTTCTCTAATGCATAAAGTACAGCTCAGAGGGAAGTCATAGACATGAAGTGGGGATTCACTGGAGAAAAATCTTCACTATCAGATGTTTGGCAGGACATCACGCTGAATTTTCAGATTTGTACTCGAACATCCCATTCTGTGTTATCTGAGATTTCCAAGCAGTCAGCGGAAGATCTATTTCCATTATTATTTGCTTTATTTTTCTCATGTCAGTTCATTCTAAACTTGACTTTTTGGTAGGTAAAATCAGAACTTAAACTCTTGACAGCACAATGCCCTTTTCCTTGTGTCCTACAACTTCTCTTTGCTGTCAGTCCCACCCTGACTCCTCTTTTCTCCCGCAGTTCTTAGAGATGAGATTCATCTCACTTATCTTCTGACATCTCCAGGGTAGATGTATCCAACTTTGTCATCACCTTTCACTCCCTGTGTACTAAAAGAAGAAAAACAGGCTCTTCCAAGGAGTGATTCATGACAACAAATGTAGAGATTCATTTCAGGATGAGATGAATCATTTTTAGAAGTATCAATGTTTTTCCACTAAGCGTTAGGGGAGTCTGGGTGTGTAGACGAGGGTCAAGCAGTTCTTTGGTCAGACAAAATCAAGCCCAGGGCTGAAATTACCCAATTCCCTAATTAGTAGCTGAATTCAATATGTTATTATGTATCAAAATTTGGCTTTGTGTACCTGAATCATAGTTATAGATAGTTTCTTCTTGATAAAAGATTAAAAGGCTGTAGACATCCTGTGGCACAAGTTTGGTTTTCCACGCGGAGCTGAGGTGGAGAGGAGTGAATAGGCAACGTGGTTTTTCTCTTGCAGTTCCACAAAGAGAGGTTCAAGATTGACATGCCTCACCGCTTCAAAGTCTACAACTACAAGAGCCCAACTTTCTGTGAGCACTGTGGGACGCTCCTCTGGGGCCTTGCACGGCAAGGACTGAAGTGTGATGGTGAGTGCCTGGTGTGTGTGGCACGAGCTGAGCATGGCAAGGGGGTCATTGTCCTCAGAGGGTTGCAATCTGAAAAGCCAAATCTCATTTATCACCCTTCTCTGCAAAACCTGCATGACGTGGCATCCAGGGTGGTGAAAGAGTGGCCTACAGGACTGTCCTTCAAGGAGGATCATTCTTCAAGGAGGATGAGAACTGTCCATATATAGAAAGATCTGTGGTCCTCAAGGCTGGGGGGTTGCTTCCTGAAGAGGCAAAGAACACTAAAGAACACTGTTGATCTTCCAAAATCACCCCTAGTATGAACTATGCTCTATCTCCAATACCAGACAGACCTAAGGCACTTCACTATCTTCATAATCCTACGCCAATGGGGAGATCCTGTTCTGTGATTACAGTTTATGTCTGAGCTGTAGAGTTTTGGTAGCCTGTACCTGCAAAGGCTGATGGATGTGGAAACGCAACCTTTGGCCAGAAGAAGATATAAAAAAGTCTCTATAGAGAACCAAAAAATGACCTGAGTGCCATCTCATGAGACATTTGAGCTGTTTAAGTGGCTGTTCTCTGCCCTAAGCCAACAGCAGCACATATTCCTGCCCAACCCTTTATAGCCTTTCTTGTCCTGACTCCTCTTGTTCTTTCTTTCAGCATGTGGCATGAACGTCCATCACAAGTGCCAGACAAAAGTAGCAAATCTCTGTGGAGTTAACCAGAAGCTAATGGCTGAAGCTCTGGCAATGATAGAGAGCACTCAGCAGGTAAATCATTTGAGATGCTCTTCTCATAAGCAAAGACCTTTTATAGATCTTGGCTTTTGTGGGTCACACTCAAGAAGCTACAATGTTTTTAAGCTCAGAACATGACATTTGACTCAGAAGCCGTTTGCTCTTTCCTGTACTCCAGGCTCGCTGTCAGCGGGACACTGAGCAGATCTCCAGGGATGGACCTCTGGAAATTGGCTTCCCAGTTCCAGTGAAGGACGTAACACCACTACAGGCATTGCCAGCATCTACAACGGGTAAAAAAGGTAGTTCCACCTGGTGATACGGGGCAGCAGCTCTGTTAATGTTTTGGGTGGTACATGGTTAGTTGGAGGTGACAAGGATGGGGAATTTATTAGCCAGTGAATCTTTCATGCATCTGTCCAGCCTAGAGCAAGACAACAGAATCACAGAATATGCTGAGTTGAAAGGGACCCTCAAGGATCATCGAGTCCAGCTCCTGGCCCTGCACAGAACCATCCCCATGAGTCACACCATGTGCCTGAGATTATCATCCAAATGCTCCTTGAGCTCTGTCAGGCTTGATGCTTTGATCCCTGCCCTGGGGAGCCTGTTCCAGTGCCCAACCACCCTCTGGAGGAAGAACCTTTTTCTAATATCTAACCTCTGCCCTTTCTGATCCCAGGATATCAACAACTTACCAGCCATATCACCTAGGCATGGCAGATACCCTGGATCCCAATCTGGTTCTTTCTCTGCAAACATGCACTTCCCCCATGTCATCCCAACCTCTGGTGACTCGAGACCCCAACCACCACTCCTTCAACTAACACCTCAACACTCTTTCTGACCAGGTGCTTGAGCACATCTCATACCTAAACTGGCAGTAATGTGCTTATTCCTTGCTTGGGACTCACAGACTTTTAAAATCAGAGAACTTCACAGAGAAACCGAGCTGTAAACAGGAGGTTTGGAGTTCTTCTGATCACTGTGGCCAATTTTCTTTCCGATTTCTTATTTTTGGGTGAAGGTTGACTTCCAGTAGCTTTGAGAACCAATGACAGATCCGCACTTCGCTCACCCAGGAGCTGATGTAGGTGTCACAGCCCTCTATGTACAAGAACAGATGTTTAGGAGAGTAAATGAGATAGTGTGTCCTTTAGCCCCCAACGGGAAATAAATTATGTCCACATCTGTGCTTAGTTTCTTTCTTTTCTGCAAGTAGAATGGTCATGCTGATGTGAATCAGTAAAGCCCCAGATGGTTTCACATCTGTTTTACATGTGGAGCTGTTTGTCTGCTGAGTGGTGTTCTTGCTGATCAGCATTTTAGAACAGTGCAGCAATGGGATAAATCCAGTGAGGGACAGAATCTCTTACAAATTCATGTTGTTATTGTTTACATCCAAGTGAATGGATGATTGAAAAACTCTGAGCAATTCCACTCCAGGACAGCTGGAATGCTTGAGTTTCACATCCAGAGCAGGGACCCAGTACCCAGTATGAAAATGCTGTCCCATCTTTTCGTCTGGACCACATTTCATGGGACCACATCAAAATGGCAACCAGCAAGAAGGACCAAAGAAGACAGGTGGCCAGAAATTAAGGGTTTGGTCATGTTTTGCTGCCATAAAACAAAAAAACATATGAAGGAGTTTGTGAAGTGGTTTGTAAAGTAATGTAAGAAGATGGAATTCCATTGGAGTAAAAATTCCTCTAGAGAGAAAGGAGTGTGGGAGCAGAGTCGATGTACTTAGATCTGGCCACCACATTTCTATTTGTTTGAAATACCCTTTTAAGCCTCTAAGAACAATACCTATAAGTGTTCTGGGGATTTTCTGCTCATTTCCAGGGGTTTATTTGTATGCTTTGATGTGTGTTGCAGAGCCACAAGGCATCTCCTGGGAGACTCCGGTGGAGGGCACAATGAAGGGGGAGGCTCTGATAGAGACAGACTTGGGAGAACAGTCCCAGGAACAGCAAGAGCACCAAGTGCAGCTAAAACTGACCATTGACGATTTTGTCCTGCACAAGATGCTGGGGAAGGGCAGTTTTGGCAAGGTAAGCCAAAGGGGGCTGAGACACCACTGCATATGTTTGAATGTTGCTTTTTATGGCATGAAATAGCTTGTGGTTTGAAGGCCACTTAGGAAAAACCATGGAGTCATAGATGTCATCGTTTAAGTCGAAAAAGACCTCGAAGATCGTCAAGTCCAACCAAGCCCACTGCTAAACCAAGTCCCCAAATGCCACATCTGCATGTCTTTTGAACACTTCCAGGGATAGTGACTCCATCACTGCCCTGGGCGGTCTGTTCCAATGCCTGGCCAACCTTTTAGTGAAGTAATTTTTCCTAAAAACTAATATAAACCTCCCCTGGAACAATTTGAGGCCATTTCCTCTTGCCCTGTCCCTTGTTCCCTGAGAGCAGAGTCTAACCTCTGCCTGGCTGCACACTCCTGTCAGGGAGTTGTAGAGAGCCAGAAGGTCCCCCTGAGCCTCCTTTTCTCCAGGCTGAGCCGCCCCAGCTCCCTCAGCCACTCCTGGTGCTCCAGCCCCTTCCCCAGCTCCCTTCCCTTCTCTCTCACTCCAGCACCTCAATGTTTTTCTTGTGAGGAGTCCAAAACTGCACCCAGGATTAGAGGTGGGAACTCACCAGTGGCCAGTACAGGTCACTGCTTTGGTCCTGCTGGCCACACTGTTGCTGATAAATCTTCAGGCCTTCAAAGAATCCTTGCCCTGGCATGGCTGAATCTTGGACTCTGTCTTCTCCTTGCTTATGACAAAGATCTTCTCTCTGTCCCATTAGTTACTGTCCCATGATTGCCCACGACAGGAGAGGAAATCCCCAGGTAAATCTGAAACTTCCCCTTCTCTGTGGGTTAATGGGTCCTGTGCATCCACAGAAATCTGGTGGGAAAGATCTCTGTGCTGTCCCCCTTCCTGCAGCTACTTCTGCCAGCTCAGTGGGCAAACTCAGAGAGAGGTGGGAGCATTAGCTGAGAAGTTGAGTGTGGATCCTCTCTCGTCTCCAGAGCAGCAGGTCCCCAGCTGGGAACAATAACTGCTCCTTCCCAGCTCCGATCTGTGCTGGAGCGTGAAGCAATTTTTACAACAGCCAAGAATTTGTGCTTTAGAAACAAGAACCACCTGTTTTCAGCAGATACATTAATCTTGATGAATTATGGACTGCTCCTCCTTCTTGCAGATATTCCCTGGAAGGGGACTCACGTTATTCAGTGCCAGCACAAAGCTGCAAAAAGCAATTTCAGGGGAACTCATTATTGTATTTTCACAGCCAGTAAGGAGAAGGAGTATCATTATGTATCACACTGCTCACATCCCACATCTTTCCAAGGTGGAAACTGTGCTTTAAACAAAGAGCTGCTTTTTGCCTGCTAAGTGATCTGGAGCAATTCCTGCAGCCAGTTCTTAAACTGGGAAAATATCTCCTGTGTTGGCTTTTCACACTTGAAAATCATAGACACATAGAATGGTTTGGGTTGGAGGGGATGTTAAAGACCATCTAGCTCCAACCCCCCTGCCATGGGCAGGGATACTTTCCACAAGAAGGTGTCATGTCTACAGTTTGCATGGGAACCAGAGCTGAGGCATCTCAGAGCTAAGCCAGAATACCCCAAACCCCACAGCCCAGACTAATTCAGACTCAAGAGAAGAGAAGTCATAGAAACATTTTTATTGGAAGGAAGGGACCTCTGGAAGTCCTCTAATCCAAACCACTGCTCCAGACGGGTCTAATGAGATGAGGTTGCTCAGGTGTTTGTCTAGTCAAGTCTGAATACCTCCACTGAAGCAGATTCTGTACCTTGTTTTAGCCCTCATGCTGACATGGACTCTCCAAGCCTGCAAGCATCTGTGTCTCCCTGCAGTGCACCATGTGGGTGTGCAGAGGATGGGCTATTTCATGCCTTTCTGCAACAAAACTCACCCACGAGTTTCCTGTGTAGGTGTCGCTCCTGGTGCCCTCATTTGCTTGGAGCGAGATTCACTTCCCCATAGAGGGGACAGGGTGTGCAGATCTCAGTGCCTGGGTGGTCTCCCCAGCTCTGCATGGACTAGGGAGGTTGAGGACCAGATCCACAGCCTCTGCATGAGGTCTAGCATTGCCTACCTGCCCCTTGGAAGTCACAGCACACGTCACAACTCCAGTTTCCCCATGGGAGCAGTGCCCTGCACAAAAACAAGGGTAAAAAGGGTGCCTGCAGCATCAGCACTGTTAGCATTTCTGGTCATTCACTGCACAGACAGAGGGAGGCTCTAGGCTCTACTCTCTGTCTGGTGCTACAAAGTGAAATGCAGCAGTAGCCAAAAGGGTAAATAAAACTTTTGTCAGGGCTAAAACATGTCTGAGCTTACTCAGTAAATAGTGTCTGGTAGAGAACTTCAAAGACCTCTTTGATGAATCTTACATATTTATTTAGTCTATGGAAACAGTGTTGACAGGCTGTTAGTGTGAAGATCAGGACTGGCACTGCCTTCCAAGGTAGACTTCTTTGCTCATTGGTCTCTAGAAAACCCTTTGCTGCTGCTCCGTGTCTCATTTTCACACTGCCTACAAAAATAGATAGAGGTTGTAACTCCTCTGGGATGTATTTTCCCATTCTTAGAGAACTCCTGCAGCAGCATGGGGGACCCAACCTGTTTGCTCAGACCTGCTAACTGGTAGGAAGGGGAGAAAGCCACATCTGATATAGATCAGTCTAACCACCAGTGGACATTATTTCCACCTGCTGAGGATCTGGTGCAGGACGTTTGCATTTCAAATGGTGACAAAGCAATACTCTGTTTTGTTATTTGAAGTCAGAAAACAGGAAATGTATCTCAGGAGCATTTGCATGAGGATGGTTTCTGTTATCAGAAGTGGCTCTCTGGTATGTCCTGTCCATACAGGCATGTAGGACCCTGCTTTTGTAATCACCAAGAACTTCTCATCCCTCCCCAGGGCTCAGCTTCACAGAACTATTCTGGGTGTGGGGAACAAACTCAAAGTCTACAAAATCTTAATGGCAGAATTGGGCCTCAAACATCAGTTTTTTTAAGGTCTACCCTGGTGAATTCCCCAGAGCTCAGCTCCCACCCTCAGATGGTTGTGTTGCCTGCTCTGAGAGGAGACAAGCACTCCTGCTGAGCAGCTGTTTCCACCCTAGGTGTTCCTTGCTCAGCTGAAGAGCACAGACCAGTATTTTGCTGTGAAAGCCCTGAAGAAGGATGTGGTGCTGATGGATGATGACGTTGAATGTACAATGGTGGAGAAGAGAGTCCTCTCCTTAGCTTGGGAACACCCATTCCTGACTCACGTCTTCTGTACGTTCCAGACCAAGGTAAGACAAGGGTCTGTCACCTTCCTCTGTGAGCTGAGGGTGCTTTACTGCAGTACAGATGCTTGGTGAAGGGCTTAAGTCTGCCAGATATTAGGGAATAGTTTGAACATGAAGTGGTGCTCAGAGAACGGATCTTCAGGTCAAGCACTGGGAAGTGGCTCCAGAAATTTAATCTGCCTTTCCATATGAACCTGGGAGTGGGATAGAACATCCAAGGCTGACTGAGGTATGCAGAGACCTGCTATTAAAATCTGCATCCCAATACCCTGGGCTGAGGATGTGCAAAGGCCACATCCACAGCCAGAGTAAAGATGTGCCCACACTGGTGTTACCTGAACCTCTAGGACCATGAAGCATTGTGCTGCAACAACAAGCCTGGATCAAAGCAAACTCAAGGAACTCTGGTTGTGGAGAATAAACATGCTGTCATTTACTTCTTTGCCCCCAGTAACAGTTAAATTGCACCAGACACTGGTGATGGAGGCTGCAGTTCAGAGGGGCAGCACAAAGCATCACCTGAAAACCTGCTTAGGACTCCAAACCAAAACTGAAGTGACATTTAAGTAATGTGTATATATCTTCGTGGCTCTACTTGCCAACAAACCACCAACTGATTAGCCTTCCAGAGCTTTTCCTGCAGCCACAACCAATCATCTTAACACCAAAGCATACACAAGGCAAAGAAAGAAATTATGGAATTTTGAGAGGTTGTCTTGTCTGTTCAACCTACTCAAACCACTCCTGAAAGATGATTGATGTCTCTTAGCTCAAATTCAGAGCAGTGTCACATGGCTGCCTGTCCAGGGTTTTGTTAGGATGTTCCCAGTCCCTTCTCAACCCCAGGATGCTCCCAGTCCCTGCTCAGGAATTTTGTGGCAAAAATCACTGCTCAGAGTGAAGTTAGGACCTGCTCAGCAAGAGGCTCACTGCTTCTGCAGGGTGAGGAGAAACAAATATAACCTCTATGGTACATCCCAGTCATCTGTGGGATGTGGCACCTGTTTGAAGACAGATTAAATTTATAACAGGGAATGTCTGGGAACTGCTGTAGGGGATGCGACACTGAGCCCAGACATTAATGTTTAACCCCTTTGGGACTGACAGAATGATATGTCCTGGGAATGGATCATTGCCTGGAATTAATTCCCTATTTGGAGGAGCTAGATTTCAGAGGAAAATACAAATGACACAACTCCAAAAGCAGAGAAAATCAAGATTTAATGGAAGAGATAAAATATTCACAACAGTCACAGCTCTGTGAGGGAGCATTTATTCCAGGGAATGCTGCTTGTGCTGCCTGTATCTCCAGAGGGATGCTGGTGATGCCAGCATCTGACTGGCACGCAGCAGCTGAACCATGTTTTCTGTGCTCCAGCCTGGTCTGTCCCTGGTCTGGAAACTGGAGGTCAGGTTCAGGATGGACAAAGCAGTGATAGTCTGCAGCTCTGATTTCAGGCAGTGCACGCATGGAAGGGTCCACTTCCCTCATGAATCCACAGCAGAAAGGTGAGAGACCCAATGGTGTCGTGCCAGGAGCCAGGTGGGATTTTCTGACCCTTTAAGAGGAGTGCTTCCAGCCATGGCTGAGGAAAGGGAATCCTGCAGGATGGAAAAGCAATGAATGCCTGAAAAAACTGTGGGTTCCAGGCTCAAAAACCAAGTGATCTCTTCCCACACTGTCTTGTGGGCAGCACCACAGTGTTGCCCTCCTGTCCTACAGAAAGAATCTCCATCCATCTCATTCCAAGCCCTTATTCCACTCTAAAGTTATGTAATCTCTCCATCTTGCCCTCAAGTTCACAGACAGAGAAGCTGGAATGTGGCTGCCCAGGCCAAAGCTGCTCTGGACTGTGATTGATTTTTAGCTCATGTTTTTCTCCTCTGACCTTTGCAAGCCAAGCAGCAATTACTCAATGTGGGAGAGTCACCCAGAGCAGGAGATCTGAGACAAGCCATGGATGGGCTTTCACGGCCCAAAGGACAGCGTGGCTCAGTTGGAATACCTTTTATAGCAAATATTTTAGAATCATAGAATGCTTTGGGTTGGAAGGGACCTTAAAAATCATCCAGTTCCAACCCCCCTGCCATGGGCAGAAGCCAGGGCACTGCTGTGTAGATTCCCTGTCTGGACTTTAATATCAAAACCATGAATTTTTAATTAAAAAAATTATATTTTTTGGTTTTAAGGTTTCACTGTATAGAAGAGTAGTTTCAGACAGAAATACAAGTGTTGATGCATTTCTGAGTCCTTGATGCTTTGCCTTACCTGAGCTGCTTCAGATATTGAGTGCCCTGGCAAAGGACAGTAAAAACAGAATATTCCTACTCTGAAACAAGGACCTTGGGAGTCCACATGTTTCCAGAGGGGAAGAAAGAAGTTCTATAATCTGTGGACAGTTCTCTGAGCTCTGGGATAAGTTTCAGTGAGGTAATCAGTGAATACTCAAATATATAAAGCTTGACAGCCCTTCAGACAGATTTTAGTAGGCATCTAATGCTCCTCTTTATTCCTGCTGAGGCTGAATGATCAGCGCTTTCAAAACTCAGAATACTTGTCTTGTTTTGCTACATGAGAACAAATGCAAGCCCAGGGTGGTTGTTTTTTTTCCCCCCAATCTTTTTTGAATCTGACTGTTTTATTTTACTGCAGTCATCTTTGTATCCAGATATTCAGCTGACATAATTATATGGTGTGAATTTCAACAATAAGCTCAGGGAGCTACTCTGTTGTATTAGATTTAAAGGGATGCTGTTATGTTAAAGAGGAGGAAAAACATGTTTATAATTCTATGAAATCCCAAAATTAGTAATGCCAAAACAGTGATTGGCATCCCAGTGCTTATGTTTTATTCTTCTTTTTTGCATCTCACTGATCTTCTGCAATAAAAATAGGCTTTCCCTTTTTGAAAGTCACTTTTATTTCTGTTTCTTTACTTCATTGACCAAGTTTTATTAACACTCTTTACCTAAATGCAAATTAAATCTTGAGGCATTTTGACTTGTAGCACAAAATAGCAACAAAGACTATTTCAACCCAAAAGAGAAGTAATCTTTATTACAATTTAACAGCAAATATTACAGAAACGTTTATTTTCTGCTTTACTGGTGTGTTATATCTTTTCAAAGTCCTGGTGATGAGCCATTTTCACATGCTCTGTTGCTTCCACGTGCTTAGCACTGACTTTAAAATCTCTTACACTGGCAGGAAGGAGAAGTGGATTATAAACAGGGAGTGTGGTCCTAATTAAAAATTCTTAGGCTCTAAAGTGTTTTCTATGAGTATCATCAGGAGATTTCTCATTCAGATGTCTCCTCAGGGGATACTGCAATTCCTGCAAAATTTTTTGCAAGTGCAATTTGAGTTTTCTTCTCCCTCTGACCTCAGCTGCTGAGGGACAGGGCTGAATTATCTGACCTGCACCAGAGTGTGTGGTTTGGCACATCTGTGTTTCACACCCGTTGGATATTCAGCTCCACTGCCTGGTTGTGCCACAGACCTTCTGAACAGCCCTGGGTCAGGCCCCCATGCCCTTCCCAGGGAATGCATGGTCCTCTCTGACCACAGCACAAACTAAATAAGGTATGCTGGTCACGAAACAAGGTGTCCTGGGAGGTCAGACTGGATGCCTGTCTAGCCAGCATCCTAATTTTGTCCTTGATGAGGGAGGAAGGCTGAAAAATAGAGTACAGGGCATCACAGTAATTTTTCCGTTGTATAAACCATCCTTTTCCCACGTGCAAACCATCCCAAACCTTGGTGTGCAGCCATTTGGGAGACACAATCCTGAAGCTACAAGGTCCATAGATCTTCTCCGGGTTTTTTTGGGGGGATACATCAACTCAGAAACATCTGTACAACCTCCTAGTATTTGGAGTATTTTGAGCTTGGAAAAGTCTGATTCAAGGCTAGTTGGCCATATTTGAACCAGCTAATGGGAAAGTTGGGAATGAATTGGGGTGTTTAGGGAAGCTTTGAGGATTTTGCCTCTTGCAAGCAGCAGGCAGGAAAACTGGCAAGGTCTCCTTCGATCCTGGCCAAAATTTCAACATGGTTTAGCAGAAATAGCAGCATCTCAGCAGAGCTTTGGGACTCCAACAAGGTTGTGCCAGAGAAGGTGAGAGCAGCTGTAATTATAACATCAAATATATGAAGTTTTTGCAAGACACTTCTGGGTGGTGTCAGCCCATGTGCTGTGAACAGGGGGAGTGTATTGGCCAGGAAAAGAGGAGGACAGCTCACAAGTGTGGTTTTTTTAAGTGATAGATGACTGACATATTCAATACACATATTCTCTTTGCCTTCCCATTGTCCAGCCTGAGGAAAATCAGCCCAAAATGCATAAAGCTTTGAATGAGATTTCTAAAAATCTACAGTGTAGCAGCTCTTTATCCTGAAAAAAAAATTACTTGTTAAAGTAAAAACATTAAATTTTTTTGCCTATTTTCAGCTGATAAAATATTTATTTTTCACAAGTTTGACTACTTTTTGTTAAGTTTTTGTTCTGGTGGTTTTTTCATCTGTAAATCTTCAGAGAATCTTATCCTAGCCTTGAGAAAATTAGTCTTTTTCCAATATACCACCAAATACTCATAGGAAACCCACTTTCTCTTGCAAGACAGGGCTTATAGTAACTCAGCTTACCAGTGAGGGATGTCTGCTCTGAGCTGTGATGAAGGTCTTGGGATCTCAGAACTCAGGTGCAAGGAGCTGTTGCCAGCCATGTCTACACCTTTATCTATTCATATGTATTCCATGTATGTGTGTAAAAATATATTCACATGCTTTGTACCAGGCACATGGGCACACAACACTAAGCATCCCAAATGAGCAGTTTAACAGGCAGTTAAAAATGCTGACAGTGCAAAGATTAGAACGAGAAATAAACAGTGAGATCAGGGACTGGACTGAATTATTTGACAGCTCTAAGAAATGCTGCCATCTCCAGAAGAGAGACTGATATTACACAAGAGGGGGAAAAAAGTCTTTGAACTAGAGAACAAAAGTAAACCTGAGGGTGTTTTGGTGCAAATAGCAAAATTAGAAATGTAGGTGAACTTCTGTGGTCACCTACTAGCAAGGAGTAACCCTGTGTTTACTGTTCCTCGTGGGAGTAGAAAGCATTGCCTGCTTTCCCACCGAATGGGATGCTGTGATGGGATTGCAAAACACTCTGAGTGGTGTGGTGGAAAAGGCTGAGAGGCCTTTGACTCCCATCTATGGATGAAATAAAATAGATCCAAAGCTTGGATAAGAACCCGGACTGGGCTGAGCTGAGCTGCCTGAAAAGCTGAGACAAGAGGCAGCTGCAGGAATTGAATCACAGAATCATAGAATGGTCTGGGTTGGAAGGGACCTTAAAGAACACTGCATCATGTCAAATCTTTCTCTTGGCCAGGGCTGACCTAATTCAATGGGATGCAGCAGGATTAGGTCACTTAATGTGGAATCTTCTCCCCATGAAGCCATGCTCTAAATTAGAGTAAAGCCACACTGTCGTGCAGCATTAATTATTCTGATATTCAACCTCCTGGAAGCCCTGGGAAGAAGAATTTTCTCTCTTCAGTAAATGGTGTTAAATCATGTATTTGTATGGATGCAAGTGCTTTCAAATGCAAAGAAAACAAAATCTGAAAATCTCCGCAGAAAAGTGCTCTGGAGGGCTCCCAGCTGGTTTGAGGATTTTAAGAGCCAGTTAAAGGATGTACCTTCAAAAGATCAATTTAAATGCTGCCTGCTTTCTACTCATTGTTTATAAAGCTGAAAGCATCTCTGATAGTGACTATTCATTCTCACAGCAGTCAAAAAGCAAACAGAGGGAGGTTGGATTAACTCCATCCCTGCCATGTCCTGGAGAGTGAGGGAGCAGGTGGCTCTGTGGAGAGGAGCTCAGCTCAGCACAGGTGCTGAGGGGCTGATGGGGCAGGGAATTGAGTTCTTGCAGTAATCAAAGCTTTCAGCACCTGGCAGGATTGACTAGACGAGGGAACTGTGTTATTTTTTGCATGTCCCTGTATGTGTGTTGTACAGCGTCATGTTGTGTGGTTCTGCTGCTGTAGGAGCAACACTCCATCCTCCCACAAAAAGGTTTGTCATGTTCCCTGTGCTGCAATGGAGAAGGCTCCTGGAAGATGGTCTGGAAGTAGAGAATGGCTGATATATGGATGTTCTTATCCATATGGATGTGCCAATTAGTTTAAGAAGCGTTGGGTCAACACACGATGGGATTCCTAAGGTTGTCCTGTGCAGGGGCAGGAGTTGGACTTTGATGACCTTATGGGTCTCCTCCAACTCAGGATTTCTATGATTCTATGTTTCTATAACTACCCTTAGAAAATAGTTATCCCTGAATGCAAGAAGTGCCTTTATAGTCCTCCTCGAGCTCTGTGGTTGTAAAAGATGGTCCCAAGCTCTGCTGAGAGACCAGACTTTTTCTGTTCCGCTGTGTGAGTCTGGAACCATGGCCAGAAGTTTGGCTTGAGAATTTGCTGGGGATGCTCCTACAGGTGGTCAGGATGTCACCTGTCACACGTCTGCAAGGGAGAGAGGCAGGGAACTCTTTCCAAGCCTCCTTCAGAGCTTTGTAGGTCCAACCACTGTGGAGTAGCATCCCTGTTTGTTTGGCATCCCAGTCGTGCCATCCCAGCTACCATGTCTGAGAATCATGGAATCATAGAGTGGTTTGGCTTAGAAGGGACCTTTAAAGGTCATCTAATCCAAGCCCTCTAGAATGAGTAGGGGCATTTTCAACTACATAATACCCCCTCTGACCTGCCCCAGGTGCTGACAGACTTCAGAGCCTGGCAGTAGCAGGCAGGAGCCATCAGACAGCTTTCCCAGGACAAGAGGAAGTTTAGGTTGGAGCCTGTCTGCAAACACGTCCCCTGTGCCACTCTGACCCTTTAACCTCTGTTGAGTAACACTGTTGAGTTTTCAGTGGTTTCAAATACGGGTCTTGCCACTTCCCATTTTTAGTGTGTTCTGTGGCTCTGTAGATCTCAGGCTTAGGAAGCTGACTCCAATAACTTGTTGCAGTTTGCCATTCTTGATTACGCCTCCCTACTCATAATGACGCACTTAGGGCTGATCTCAAGCAGTTTTTCTCCATGACCCATTCCAGACAACTGCTCTTTGCAAGAAGCAAGGGGAACATCCAAGCCCCAGAGCAAAAAGCTCTCTCCAACAGTGTTTATGTACCACTCTATAGCACCTGGTAGGCCACAGACTGCAGTACTAATCATGCCTGAGTTTGTAGTCTGCAGCTTTATAGCTTAAGGCAGTTGAGCAACAGAGTTCATATATTTGGATGTAAATTAATCTGAGAGGTGGGCAACCTCTTTTCTTGGATGGCAGAAGGGTCCAGTTTCAAGTTAGAGTCCCTGGTTCAATTAAATAGGCACATCAGATGGTTGCTCAGATGCATGAGCAAACAGAGTATGATTGCTTGTTCTGCTGAATAAACTTTGGGCTTCAAGTTGCACTTAAAGATGTGTGGTAAAGTGTAGCCAAAATTAGTGGACTTTCCAGGGAAACCCAAGGGTTTTCTGCTTCCCAGTCCACTAGAGCTGAATCTGGCCCATTTGAGGACCCATCAGGTTTGTTCTGTCCCAGTGTGACACGTGGCTGCTGGTGTGTTGGTGGCTAAACCTCATCACCTCCCTGTGTACCTTCACAAAAAGCATCTGTCCAAGTATTTTCCTTAAGGGGCTCCTGAGCTCACATTGTTTCCAAGATTTATGCATTTCTCCACTAAATTACCCATCTCCATTTGGCCCTTTTACTTGCTTAAACTGATTTACGTGCACAGCCCTCTACAGATGCAAGATCTTCAAACTGAAAACCTGCACCCATTTGGTTTAGTGATAAAATTTGTATTCTTTCCCCAGGAGGCCAAATCTGGCCTTGTGCTTGTTGGATGACAGGTGGGGTTTCCAATGAGACATCCATTTAAATAAGAGTGCTGTAATTAAAAGGATCTGGCAAAAGAAATTTCACAAATTAGAGCAGACAGCTGTTGTTTGAAAGGAACAAGCACTGTAGTGGTTTAAATAGCCAGCTCTTGGCTGACTGCCAGAGATACTTATATTAGATCTTATGGATAAAAATCTTCAACTGTTAAAAGTATAAGTGAAAAGAACTCTATTTCCCCCCCCTCCCAGAAAAAATGTGATGGGCAATAGGCAACACAGGGAAGGTATTCATAAACTTTATAGCACAGCCTAGAGATGACTGACTTCAGGTGTGTAGAGAACAGAGGGAGGCTTTTGAGAAACAAAAATGCTGCATCCATTTTATTTTATTCCTGCATTTATGCACAAAAGGTGAGATTACAAAAACAGAAGTTTGAACTGAGGGCGTAACTCAGTGCATGGATACTCTTCTTCCAGGGGAAGGTGCCCCTCCTGCTTTGTAGGTACCATTCAGCGTGGAAAGGATCAGTCTCAACCAGCTTCCACCTTCTGCAGGGGTCTGGTGGTGAAGTTTTGGCTGGTGAAGCTGTGAGAGGATCAGTGTCGTGTACATGAGCAACCTGGTCTAGTGAAAGGTGTCCCTGCAGGGTGGTTGGAACTGGGTGGTCTTTGAGGTCTCTTTCAACCCAAACCATTCTGTGGCTGTATGATTCTACATCAAGGATAGAAAAGGAAACCTTGGTGATCAGTTCTGCTCATTATCCAATATTCAATTCCATTATTTTTATGTAGCAGAAGGGCTTTCCACTGCCCTCGTCAAACAGCTGCTGATTGCATTCAATTGGGGACAAAGACTGGACATTCTTCCAGGCTTCTCTGACATGCAGGCACTCAATGGGTATCCAGAAATATGACTAATTCATGAATCTTCCCACCAGTGAGTTACATCTTGCCCTGTTTAATAGAGCAGCTTTCAGGTTTAAAATCAAGCATGTGCTTAAAACAAATTGCTGCATCTGGCCAGTTTCTCTGAGAACTTGAAAAAGTCAGACCCATGTGCCTCCACAGAAGATGTGCAGGAATTCAGGTGGCAACAGCTTGAGATCACTCCACTGGATGGATAATGCTCTGGGATGGGGACCAGAGGAGACCTAGTATTGACTTTTGCCTCTTCTACTAGTCCCTCTAGTCTCATCTGTCCTTCTGTTACACAGGCACTGTAGAGTTGCTCATCCCCTTCTAGTGAGCCTGGAGGTCTGCTGGTAAAAATTAACGGCACCAGCTGGTTGTTAAGTGGATTTGCAATGTTTGCTAATGGTGTTTATACAAATCAGAGCAGAGAGGGTGAGTATGGGCTTAGGAAACAAAGAGGAGAAATGAGGAATCTAAAAAAGAAACTGCTTTCTTTCCAAAACCCTCACAGTAATCTTTTCCTTCCTCTTTTTGAGTGCTTTCCAAGGGGTTTGTTTTTCAGGGTTTTTTTTATACTTTTACTTTGCCCTTTTCCCCACCCTTATTTGTTCTCATTTTGTCTCATTCTCTAGGAAAACCTCTTTTTTGTGATGGAATACCTCAATGGAGGAGACCTTATGTTCCATATCCAGAGTTGCCATAAGTTTGACCTTCCAAGAGCAACGTAAGATATTACTATTATTATTATTATTATTGCCTCTGGGCTTGCAGGTTGCCCACATGAGAGAAGCAAAAGCAGTAGACATCTGGGAACTTGATTTTATTCCCAGTTCTGCTTCTGTCCTGTAGAAGAAACATAGGGCAGATCATTTGACCTCTCTTCACCTTACCCAGCTGCAAAGTGAGGATAACACTTTTGCTGGAAACCGAATCACTCTCTATCCCAGCTATTCCAAACTGAACAAGATAGACATGCAGGTTGTCACCCCTCCTCAGTGAAGGACTTGGAGCAAATCACTTCCTCTCCCTGTCCTCTTTCCCCTCCCACAGAAGGCTTTTGGAGCCCATCCACACAGTTGATTTTAGTCAGATGTGAACTTACTTTACACTCTTGGTCAACCAGGAAGGTTTTTCTGTCTGGAAATGTTACAGATGCTGCTACACCCTCATCAGCTTTGTGTCTACTTACAGTCTTAATCTTTAGCCTGCAACCCAGAAATCTCCTTCTAGCCTGTGACCTGGCTCCTGTATTTTGCACTGTCCTCAGCACAGTCCCACACAGGTTTGTTCAGAGCCGAGAGCTGAGCTGGAGGGAAGCTGTCCCTTAGGCTGCCCTTCTTGATGGATTAGTCCCCTTCCCAGGCTTCAGTCCCTCACTCAGATCAGGGCTTCAGAGGCAGTCCAGCTGTGACCTCACCTCTGGAGGTGTCTCCACTGTATCTAAACGGCCTCAAACCTGCCTCAGATCTTCAGAATCAGAATCACAGAATATCCTGAGTTGGAAGGACCCACAATGATCATCGAGTCCAACTCTTAAGTGAATGGCCCATATGGGGATCAAACCCACAACCTTGGTGTTATTAGCACCATGCTCCAACCAACTGAGCTAATCTCAGGGTTTTGCTTACATATTCCATGGATGAGGATCATGTTAAAACAACCTACAACTGTCTGCTGTGAATTACAGCAGCCCTGGGGTCTCTCTGTTGCAGTCCTTGAGTTCTTGCTCAGCCCATAATCAGAGATCTCAATAATGACATCGTGGACCCAACCTCTGCTCCAGATTTACCACCATCAAAGAAATCCAAGAAATGCATTTTCAGCCGTCTGTGGAACCAAATATCTTGTTCTTTACAGTACTGGGTGACCTGTAGCCAAGCTGCAGGACCTGCTTAAGCTGAGGTTCCCAGTCCAGTGGTCAGAGGTGAAGCTGTTATTTGTTAGAAGTAATGGGATTTTCCCTCTCTCCCTTTAAAGTTCAAGGGGGTGGGAGGAAAGAGACAAAACCTATCAGAAGTACAAAAGGTAAATTTAAACAAAAAATTAATATACCGACAGAGAATTAAAAATTTATTTAGCTTTGATTAAAGCAAATAGAAGAATTAGAATAAATGAAATGTGCTTTTAATCCTTCTGCAAGCAATAGGTATTTTGAAAGTCAACATTGAAACCACTATAGGGATTAATTTTTATTTAATAATTTAATAAAAAAAAACCCCACAGTGTCATTTAAATAAATGTTTGATGATTTTTTTTCAAAACCATTTGAATATTCAGAATTAAGGACCAATGCATTGAAGACTGAGCGAACAGAGCTGTGCCACACTGGAGGGAAATATGATTCTCTGGTTGCATTCCCTTCTGGGAGGGCACTTTCATTCTTCACACTGATGCTACCTCTTTACACCAGGATGTGGTGATGTCCTTTGGGTAAAATGTGTTGAGAACAAAGACCTCAAATTAGAAAAAAACTCCAGAGAAAGGCCACCAAGCTGTGGCTGCCCTATCCCTGGAAGTGTCCAAGGCCAGGTTGGACGGGGCTTGGAGCAACGTGGTCTCGTGGAAGGTGTCCCTACCCATGGCAGGGGGTAGAACTAGATGGTCTTTAAGGTCCCTTCCAAACCATTTTATTGTTCTATGATCACTGTAACTCATTGATTTACTTTAAATATGTAAATAAGGGAGAGGTTCAGACACAGTCTGCCTTTCTTGTTACAGGGATTGTATTTTGAGGGAAGGCAGAGTGGGCAGTAGGAGCTGGTGGTTTTTTTGCTCCACAGCTGATCTGGAGACATTCTTTGGCACTGAAGAAACCATTCCCAGAATCAGTTACTTAGAGAAAAATGCATCTGGCCATGCAGTGTGGCTTCCAAATCCCTGAAGATAAGTAGGCTCCACATCCCTACCATTTCCCAAAGTGGTTTCAGTGGGAATTAGGCTGCTAGCTGTGTGTCACGCTTTTGGGCATCTCACATCATCCATCAGTAAAACACAGTCACCCCAAACCTTCTGGAGACACCCCAAACCTTCTGGGAAGCTAATGAAATTTTGGCTTTTGTGGAGACAAAGTTTCCCTCTTTCTGGGTCCAAATGAAAACGCTTTTGGGAAGAGTCCATTCTAACTTGTGCCTTCTCTCACTCAGGTTTTATGCTGCTGAAATAATTTGTGGGCTCCAGTTCCTCCATTCCAAGGGCATAATATACAGGTAATTTTACTCTGTAATGTAAATAATATGCTAATATGCTAAACCTTTTCTGCTTTCCTTGCAAGCACTAATGGCAACAGAGAGCCTGTTTCTTGGATGTACTTACTGGCATTGCTTTTCTATGCAGACTTCCCTTTTATAGAGTCTGGGCATTTTATTTTGAAGAGATAGTGTTAAAAAGCATTTTTGAGGCATTTTTTCAGAATCCAGTCCTGTTTCAGTTAACATTAAAACAAGGCCTTGGGTGCATTTACAACACAGCACCCAGTATAGGCACCCTGGTTAAGCTTTCAACATAGCAAGGTATATAAGGTCAAGTCAGACATGAGAACTTTGGAATGTCTGCTGTGCTGGTTACCCCGGGGCAGCGGTGACAAGCTCAGCTCAAGTAACAACAGCGGGGAGACAGTGATATATCTTCATTTTGGATTATTAGCAGGTGTACTGTGCACAGTTCCACGGGGACATGGGATTCATCTCACCTACCATCATGAGTCTGAGTTGGCTGTCAAGCTCTTCTTGTAGTAAGCAGAGAGTAGTGGGCATTTTTGGTTTTGTCAAACCTGTGTTAGAGCCTGTATGAGAAGTGCCCATTTCTACCAGAAGTCAGGCCACAGTCTTATTTCCCATGGCCAAAAGAAGGAAGAGAATTTCTGGGGAGCTCTAGTCAAGCTCATCTTCATGGCAAAATTCAGTTACTGCACTGCAGCCTTCTGTAAAAGCAGGAAACAAATAGCTTGTCACAAACAAATAAGAAAACTCACCACAACAATGATGTCTGCTGAACCCAAAATGAGCATATTGCAATGTTTGTCATGTAGTGTGAACATGAGAACAAACACTGGAAGTGAATGGCTTGTTTACAATCCATTCCCCCTTTAAAACACTCTCTTTGATTCTTGTTAGTGCTCACGTGGGAGCCATTTATAGTCTTTATTGACCGGTGATGGTGGTTGCATAAACATGAGATCAATACCAGTGGCATTAATCTAAGATGATCTCTGGGGTCTCAGCAGGTTTCTGGCTCTAATTATTATTCTGGATGACTGAAGGGAAAAATTTTCCAAAGTGCCCACACCACTTTGCCATGTCTGTCGTTTTTGCTCAGTCTTCTCAGAAAAGCTGATTAAAAAAATATCTGCAGGACATGGTGAGTTTATGGCAGGATTGTTAATACCTAAATTTTATTTATAATTCACATTTTTACTTAAAATCACTACACCGATGCTGTGTCAGGATTTAGGACCTGTTTCCTCATGAAAGGAGAGGGATGTTCGGAATTTGGAACCTTGGGAAATGTGAGAAAATTGGGATATCTGGGCAGTGGGGAGCATGGGGATAGGAAGAAATATCTCGTTCCAAGGAGTCAGTGTAATATTGCTTTGGGAATCAACCTTTGAGAGAAAAGGTTTAACGAGTCCTACTCCTTTTTCCTTCTTTCACTGAAGACAATGACAACGAGGTCAGTTGAGAACTCACAGTCATCAGTATCTCTGTCAGAGAGAACTAAGCACTTAGGAAAGTGAACAGAAATCATTTTTGAAACTACATCACTTGCAATGTTGTAAGAATAATGAATCCAGCTGTTCTGTCTCATACACCCACGTTTGGAAACGTTGGCTTAAATTTTAATGAATGAGCCGAAGCATTTTTGGCAGAAACTCCAGTCCCTGGGGCCAATGAGTTTGAGACTCATCAAAATAATGAAAGCAAACTGTAGGTGATGGGTTTTTTGCTTTGCTTCGATCTACCAGATAAATAAAAGCAGTGCTGGCAGCCCGAGATTGATCTCAGTGGTGTAACTAAAATAAGTCATTCCAGCTGGAAATTGTGACAACATGAGTGTCTGCCACTTGGAAGGCAAATGTCTCACTTGTCTCTATATTTCTCTTTGATTGATGACTCCCATTTTGTCTTGGGCCCTATTCTGGCAGCAAGAAACAATTGCCCCATGACAACAATTTAGTGTGTAAACACCTCGACGTCCCCCACCCTGATTAGGACCTGGACAAAACAAGACAAGGAGCTTTGCACAGAAGGAGGCTGAACACTCATCTTCCCTGCAGTTGCAGGCGATCATCTCAGGAGCATCATGCATTAGAAATCACCTTCTTTGAAGGATTCAAAGCCATTTCTGAAAAAAACCCCACACTGTAAAACAGTTGTCATCAGGAGGGTGGCCATACAGCAGCCTCACAGTTAGGACTCTTGCCTGGGATGTGGAAAATCATAGAATCACAGGGTGGTTTGGGTTGGAAGGGACCTTAAAGATCATCTAGTTCCAATCCCCTCACCATGGACAGGGATGCCACCCACTAGATCAGGCCCCACCTGACTTGACCTATTGGCCAAAATGTGTGTAGGCTGTGAATTAGCAGAGGTTGAAAAAGAACAATTATATCCTAAGTTATGAGTACAAGCAAATGTGTCTGGGTGCTTTGGGAGCCCTGAGAAGGAGCAGTGATTATAGCACAAGACAGGATGTGCAGGAATGTGTGTGCTTACAGACCAGCTGACCCAAACTCTACCTACCTCTGACATTAAGTGCAGCATCACTGATCCAAACATCTTCCTGGGTCATTACCTCAATGAAAAGCAAAACTTTTAGGTAAGATATAAAAAATTAAGATAGAAGCCATGCCAGCCTTCCTTTCTTTCTGTCTTTTTCTTTCCTTCTTTGCAAGCTTTTCTCTCCTTTCAGAGTTTGTTCTCATGTGAGGACCTCATTGTTTTCCATCAGTGGTCATGATTCACCAGGTCACTTGCTTTAATTTCCTTCCTATGCATTTCTGTTTTCTTCCTCTCTCTGGACTCTGCTTCCCAGAGTAGCTCAGAGCCTGGAACCTCAGACAACAACCTGGCAGATATGTGTGAAGGGCTTTGTAAACCCCTGGGGTTCAGATGGTGCAGCCCAGCAGTGAAAAGGTGGTGGGTGTTCCACTGATGTCTGGGATTATCCTGACCCTATTCAAGACATGCAGGGCTTGTGTGTCCTTGTCTCTTCCAAGAGCCTGCACTGGGAGGGAGATCTGGCAGCAGCTTCAGAGAGAATATTGAGATTCCCAGTGAAGGAGAAAGTGGGAATTATCTGGTCACTTCTTGCTCCCCTTTTCCAGGCTGTGCTAAGGCAGGAGCACCAATCAGCACAAAGCCCTTCTTAGGTTCTCCATTCTGCATCCTTGAAGGAGGCAGCTTTTAGAAGGTGTCTTGGGTGATGTGATCCCTGGAAGTGTTCAAGGCCAGTCTGGATGGGGCTCGGAGCAACTTGGTCTAGTGTAAGGTGTCCCTGCCCATGGAACAAGATGATCTTTAAGGTCCTTTCCAACTCAAACTAGTCTGTGATTCCATGATTCTGTGTCTTTTCCAGCAAATAAATCAGTGCTGGGACAAGAGAAATTAGGAAAAGAGATCCTTAACTCCAAGAGAGCAACTTTTCATTCATCCCTCAGCCTTCCTTTGTAGGCTAAAATAACTAAAATGACTTGTGTGTCTCTGGAACACTTTAAAGGGGGGGTCTTCCTTCTCTTTCTCTGCAGAGACTTGAAGCTGGACAACGTCCTCCTGGACAACGAGGGGCACATCAAAATTGCTGACTTTGGGATGTGCAAGGAGAACATGTTTGGAGATGCAAAAACAAGCACTTTCTGTGGGACTCCTGACTATATTGCTCCTGAGGTGGGTGTGGACTGCAGGGGGGTCATCAAGCTGCTGTGGGGCAGAGTAACATGTCTTAGGACACGACTGTTGGTCAGTGGTGGAGGCTGCAAAGAGAAAAAACCTGGGTTTGAGCAGTTCCAGGCTAGAAACTGGATTTCGGTTTGACCCAGACTCTATGTTCCTGTCTGGAATTGCATATTTTTGTGGTTACTTCATTTTTTTTGTGCAAATGGGGCTGGGAAACAAGTGGTGCTTTTCTTAACCCAAGAAACAGAATGGTTAATAGAAATTCAGTTTGGGCCATGGCAGGAGAAGCTCCAAGATGTAGGTCCTGCAATTCAAGGACAGAAACAGCATGAGGAATTCTGATTGTGCCCTTTCCCTTACTTCTTTCCATTTTTAACCAGAGAGAAACTTGGGTTGGGCTTTGTTGTTGTTGTTGTTTTGGTTTGGGTTTTTGTTTATTTGTTTGTTTAGTTTGTTTTGGTTTGTGTTGGTTTTGGTTTTTTGTTGTTGTTTTTTAATTTCAGTATTTTGAACTAGATCCCCCCAGAAAGGAGAAAGTACCCTTAACCAGGTGACTTCACACAATAATAGATCTTACTGTGGAGAGGCTTTGACTAATTAGGTGGCAAAATTGGGGCCAAAGAAACATTTTTCAGCTCAGAGAAAAACCTACAAGTCATCCATGTCTGACATTGGTCTGAAATCCATTTATTTGCCTTTCAAGATCCCATTTCGTAATTTTAGTGTTTTCATGATGGATATTGGTACTTTCCAAATAGCTCTCGAAGCCTTTGGTGGTTTTTTTTTCACTCTACTGTAATTCATTAATCCTTTACTGTGCACTCAGGGCTCAGTTCTGGCCTAGGTTACACCACTGCTGAAACTCAAGGGTCTCTTCAAATCAATTGGATTTCTATTGCCTAAGATCAGGTTTAAGTGTGCTCTGCAATCAAGCTGCAATTGGATTTTATTCCACTTCAATATGCTTTTATTTAAGAAAAAAAGAGCTATTTTTCTATCCTAAAAAATAAAAAGAGGGCCAAGTGTTGATCCATTATCTGTGGTTTTGCTTTATAGAAAAGAGAAAAACTAAAATAGCACAGAGTTTTGTTTCTGCACCATCGTTTATTTTAGAGATTCAACGAGTGCATATAAAACATTTTACCTCTGAATTGAAAGCAATTCTAGAGTTTATGGATCATCTCTCCTGCCAGAGGCAGGAGTGCTGGATTCTTTGTCAGTATTTCACTGCAGCTGCTACCACTGTAATTTGTTACAGCCCCAGCACCTTGGCCACAGCCACGTGAATAAGGAGGCTTTGGGTCAGTAGACAAACAATTTTTTTAATTTCAAAAAATATCTGACAAAAAAAAGAAAAGACTTCACCTGAAATGAAATTGCTGGGTTTATTTCTTTTTTTCCCAGATAATTTCCAAGCTAATAAATCTTTTCTTTGATTTTCACGAAACATTTAATTTCAATTTCCAGGCACTTTATCCTTTAGAAGGTAAAACCTTACAAAAATAATGTGTCTTTTCAGAAGGAAAGGTTGGGATAATTTTGTTGTAAATGATCCACAAGAAATATATTAGGGAGTCTTGCTGATTCCTTTTTTGTTTGTTTGTTTTGAGTGAAACTCTTTGTATATGTTACATCATATATTCAGATCTCTTTTTTGTCCTTTTTGCATCCCCTCCTTTGGAGACAGAAGTGTTAGTCATGAGCACTGTACATCAGATTGGGTTTAGACTCCTGACATTAAAGTCCTGCTTTGTTAGATGCCACAGGTACATCAGAGGGGGATATTTCTCACCTAATGTGAGGAAATTCATCTAAAAATGAAGCACTAGATGGCACTTTATAATGTTGTAGAAGGACAAACATCCCAGGAAACAAGGCATCCCTTCCTACCTCAAGTATATAAATCAATTAAATCACCGTTTTCCCTCCACAACCATAGAAAGACTGGATGCATAAATCAATAAGACATAATTTTTAGGTAATAAGATGATAATTTTTAAACTCTCAGCAGTTTCACTTATACTGACCTGGAGAGTTGTTTTCATTGGTATTAAGACATCGCCAGGACTTGTCATTGATACCTATCCCATAGCTACAGTATCAGGCATCCCATTGCAAAGACTAAAGATTGTGCCTTAAAATGAACTTTTCCCCTCTGCAGCTCTAAAATCCTGATAATCCTACACATCGCAGTCATCACATGACCCTTTAGATATCTGCATTGTAAACTTCTATATATGAGCAAGTTTTCTAGGCTTCTTGATAACCAAAGGAGACAAATAGGGGGTTGTATTTTACAGCAGGTAAATATTTATCTATATGTCTAAAATTGGACTAATTCCCTTCCTTGGCTGTAAAAAGAGCTAATGGTTCAGCTCTAGGTATCTCCATAAGAGATATCTAAAGGCAGGTGAGAATAATTTTGCTTGTCCAGAGAGTTTGAGAACTTGGTGGTGGTCCCTGAGACCTGGGGGAGGTTGTGACTCCAGCTGACCCTCCTGGCCCCCACACACTGGATGTAGCCTCCACTTTATAACTGACACAGAAAGGCACAAACAAATGGACTGACTGAGGCCAAATTCTCATTCCTTTCCTTGTAACTCAGTTTGTCTCAAGAGGGCAGACCAGCAACCAATTTCATGTTTTTCCTGGGGAAGATTTTGCTGGGATAGGTTCACACCATTTCAACTGACTGATGATCCTAAAGTACCCTTGCACTGCAGCTTTTGTAATTTAAAATTCAGTTTTTTGTGAGTTGAATCAGTTCCAAAATTATAATGCCTAACCATTTGTCTTCTTGGGCAGCACAAGCCTGATTTGAACCCCTGGGATAACCCGGAAAGCAGGCAAAAAAAAATTAGTTGCCTCACTTTTTATGTTTTGAGATGTCTCTGGTAGCCAAAGATTTTTTCAAGTAACTTAAGAGTTACATGCAACCTTATTTGTAGTGAGAAGGACTGTTTTGGCTCCCAGGTGTGGCTGTGACTTGGAGCTCCTCAAACCACAGCCCCTTCACCTCTGGCAGATGTTCTGGCTCATGCAGGCAGAGGGAAGCACCTCTGCCATCCCACTCAGTGCAAAGCAGCTGTTGGAAAGACATGGTCTGACCGCCCTTCTGAAGCTGAAATACTCATGTCAGACATTTTACTTCAGCCTTTGTCCCTCCTGTTTTTGGGCAGATCCTGCTGGGGCAGAAGTACAACACCTCTGTTGACTGGTGGTCCTTTGGTGTTCTCCTGTATGAGATGCTTATCGGCCAATCCCCTTTCCATGGCCAAGATGAAGAGGAGCTTTTCCAGTCTATCCGTATGGATAACCCCTTCTACCCTCGCTGGCTTGACAAGGATGCAAAGGACATTTTGGTGAAGGTAAGAATAACCACATATGGAATGAAAGTCTTTTTTTGCCAGAATTGTCATCTTTGGTTTGTGCATCTTCAGCTGTTGCACAGAGAAACAAATTCAGCGTGATAGGACCAGAGAGACTCACTGTCTTTTCTGTGGACTCAAACTGCACCTCACCTAAGTCATAAGGCCATTTGTGTGTCCTCTTTCTCTTGAGTTGTGATATGGCTCCTCACATGGTTCCAGATACCAGCAGAGGTCAGTTTTATTGCAGAGCAATCCCTAAGATACGAGGCAGGTTAACTAAGGGTTACAGCAGACTGAGATGTTGCACATCTATTTCTGGGACACACACTGCCATCTTTCTGCACAGTCTACTTGTGCTTCTGTCAGCATTAGAGATAGTGATCATCTTCCTACCAATCAAGAAATTGCCTTGCTTTGGGAAAAAAACCCACATTTTCTCCATTATGGGCTGTTCTCATTGCACTGACGCGATAATTACGTATTCCACCCTGCTTAATGCTTGCGTTATCAGCACAGAATTTAACCTATGGAATCAACATTCTAGCTTTTTGTAAGAGAACCTGAGAGGAGACTGGGAGCAAGAGGGAACATCTGCCAGCATGCCTTTTTCCGGGAAATCAACTGGGAAGCTTTAGAAGAAAGAAGGATAGAGCCTCCTTTCAAACCAAGAGTGGTGAGGATGCATCTTCTTCCAGTTCCATCCATCCCATGTTCTTCTAGACTATGTACTTCTAGTGACTGGGCTGCCTGACCTGATCATCACAACACTGCTCTGTGATGGTTGTAAGCCCAGGTCTGGCATGTCCACACCTGAGAAACCCTAAATTACCCATCACGTTCTCAGTTACCAGAGCAGGGGTCTCGATGTCTCATAACACCTTGCCTTAACCATGTAACTTCACCCCATTCTGCAGGGATTATCTTCTATTGCACTGCAGAAGGGAAAGCAGTTCAGGTAACCAGGTGGTTGGCTAAGTTAGAATAATCCTGACTTTTAATAACTGTCCTATTAAACTATTAAGGTCCTATAAATAGCGATAATATAATTTAATTTTAAAAGAACATCATTCTTTCATTTTACAGTCTTTCACAAGTGTTATTTAATTGATGGGTCCAGTCTGATGTGTTGTAAAGCTCTAACATCCCTGCCTGGCAGAATTCATGGATCACAGGCTCAGTGCTTCCTACATGATATTTATATTTACTAGCTCCTGACTAGATAAGCTGAGCCCATGTGAGCAGCCTGATAGGGCCATTATCGTTGTAATGAAAATCTCAATATTAGTGGTTTGATATCATTTTTTTTTCCTTTTCTTGAAGAAATCTCCAAGTGACTGTAGCAACTTCGACAAGGAATTTCTAAATGAAAAACCTAGACTGTCCTGTGCCGACAGAGCGCTGATTAACAGCATGGACCAAAATATGTTCAGCAACTTCTCCTTTGTGAACCCTAAAATGGAGAAAATATTTTCCTGAGATCTGCCTTACTGAAGGAATTCTCTGTAATGGTTTGAGCAGCACTTTGTCAACTGAAGACTCTGCATCGTTATTTTTATCAAGAACCCTCCAGAAAAACACACCTCAGTGAAAGTTTGTACCATGCCTGGAAGTTTCCAGCTTATTCCAGTCTGTAGCAGATGCCAGCCACTCTTCTTTAATGATAAAGTTTCTTTGTGGTATCTTTTGGTCTCTCTTCTCTCTCTTCCCAATGTTATGGAATTGAGAGCATCTGAAAATGAGGAGCTGCCAAAACCTGTTCCCCACTACTTGTACATGCAGCCAACGGGCTTCTGTGTAAAAAAAAACTAGTATATTTGAGCTTCTGGTGATGTCAGTGCCCATTTCTGCAACTCTCACCTAGACCCACCTTCTTCTGAAGGAAAAGTGGTTTGCTCAAGGCCTGGAGGTACCTGGGAAGACTTCAGGTTGGATGCTTTGGTAACCTCCACGTGTACATGTGCAGAATTGTGCATGTGTGCACAGTTTTGAAGAAGTATTTTGTTCCCTACACACTTTAAAAATACTGTTCACAAGGTGTTAGGATTCGATTTTGCTCTCCTGGGACAAAGAGACTTTGCAGGTGCCCATTCCAATATCCGTACATCTTAATTGGAGGCACTGGAACTAAGGAATCAACCCCAAAGGAGGATCATTGCCATGGGAAGTGCCAAGATCAATACAGAAAACCAGTGGTTTACACTTAGCAGTAGAACAGGAAGGATGGGAAGTTGCAGAATGCCTCAAGAACCACGTTTTAAGCTTTAACTATCCTTGCCAAACTCAGGGCAAAATCTGGACTGGGATTTCTGGGTTTTTATCCTAAAACTGCATGAGAAAAGTGGAAGATGTTTCCTGAAACGTTGTTTAAGCATCGTAAAACTGGGACAGATTTGGGGTATTTTACTTGAGAGGTATTAACCAGTCCCTGCAAAGACTGATTTGCTCTCTGTTGCTCTAAGTGATGCCCCAACTCTTTGGCAACGTGGGCACAGGTCAATGAACTGCACCCAACAGTCAGAGGGCAGGACAGCACATCAGGTGAGGGTGGTCCTTGCCTTCATCTCATGACATTTTGCTGTGTGTTCTATCCCTTTACAGTCTGTGGAAAAGTAGTTGGGTTAAAAAAAGTCTTTCCTGTGATCCTTTTGCCATGGGATCCTTTTAAATAAAGATGCACTTTTTTCTGAAGTTGGAGAGCTGTAGAATTGCCCAGTTACTGCTTGTCACTGAGATACCACTTAAATACTGGGTCAAAATTAAGTCAAAACTTAAAAAGAGGATTCTGTAATAGCTTAGACTTAGGCAGTCACCCAGGTTGGTGTTAGGATCTAGCTGAAGAGCAAACATTTGGAGCTTCATTGCATCAACCCCTCCAGTCCACGGAGAAGAGCAGCTCTAGAAGATGAGTTATCCCAGGTTTGCTTCAGAAGTGCCTTTCTGGCTCTGCTGGACCAGGCTGTCAACTTGGACCTCCCTACAGGATAAATGCACCCTTTCAGGCAGTGACTGCAGGCACCAAATCCTGCAGGAACAAGAGCTGAAGTGCCTGAAGTCAACGAGAAGACCAGAGTGCCCTGGGAAAGTTTCAGTCCAGTGACTCTGGTGAAATCCTTGTTTGTGCTGTATGAAACACAGGGGGAATCTGTGCTCACAGTTTGTGTAGCTGGTCATCGTGTTTAATTAGAATGGTTAACATGAATTTTTTAAACACCAGTGCTGTTTGTACAGTTTAATAGAACGTTGTGTACAATTGAAAAATGGGCAATGAAGTGATTAAATAGGGAGAAAGAACAGAGGTGCTTTGAAAAGCCATTGAAATGGCTCTGTGCTGTCTGGGGAATGTTCCCCAGGGGAATTTCAACCCATAAATACACAGGAGCAGCAAACATTTGAACAACTGCAACTACTGCATAGAGCAGTATCTAAAAGAAAGATTGGGCACTGTGCAAAGGTATCCAAAAAGAGAATAAAATGTTCCTTTTCACTACCAGAAGGTGACAGGTCTGTCAGTGAGGTCTGGTATCTCAAAGAGGTTACAGAGGGGATGTGCAGATGTCGTTACTGTTAGAGGGTGACTCAGGACATCTTCCTTTGACACCTGAATGAGGCTGGATCAGCCAAGTCCTGGGAGGGCCTGACTCTGCCCACATGAGTGTGTCCATGACTCAAGTCCATTCTGATGGAGTCTGGATGGCCTGATCCAGACTAGAGACTGCATTTCTAGGCATTTGAAGGCTGGCAGTATCCCATGCTAAATGGCTGATAGGGATGTTCCCTTTGCAATGGCGCAGCAGTTTGTGCTTGACACCATTGCAGGGACACCCCAAAAGCACAGACTAAAGAAGGAGGGTGCTGAATCACCTCTTCTGGTTAAGTGACTGAAGATCACCAGGTTTTAACAACTCTCTGACCACAGGCAAGGCTTTCTGCACTCCAGCTGTGGCCCTGTATAGCTAAAGCAGCCAAACCTAAGAGTGGCTTGTAAAGGAGCACGTTGAGTAACTGCCAAAGTTAGGCTGACTGTAGGGCTTTTGGTGCAAACCACAAGAAGAAGCACCTGCTTCTCTCTGCAGAGTGTCTTCAGCTTAAAAACCAAACAAACCCACTGAGGGTGGGGGAGGGAGATGGGGAGAGGTGGGTACGAACCACCACGATCGTGCTCGTGCTCGCGGTGGTGCCGCAGCCTGAGCACCCTCCCAGCTGTGCCTGCGGGGTTTGAGAGTGACGTGGGAAGCAGGAAACGCTTTCCTGTGGTGACAGCGATCGAGAGATAACAGTCAGTGAGGGCTGAAAGCCAAACACCCTCACGGAAATGAGCAGGAGCCCAGGTACTCACAGGAGATGCTCCTTTGCCATGGCTGAACTCGGCACCTCCATACCCATCTTGTCTTTTCTTCTCTTCTTTCTTTTTTTTTTTTCCTGTCTCCTCCTCCAGAAAATGTTCATTTTATGGCATGGTAAATAGGCTTGCCAGGTTTGGTTATTCATTTGCTGAAGGCTCAGTCCTGTTCTGGAGCACCATGGGATCACAGCACTGCTGTAGGACCATGGCACCAGCAAACATCAGGGTCTGACCTCCAGCAACACCTGCTTCAGCTCGAGTTTTGGGAGTCCCCACCACCCAACTGCTCCTTCCCCAGTCTTGCTGCCTCACAGAAAACACAGAAGTTTTATCTCTGGTACATCACAGCATGAGCTGGTGAAATACAGGAAATAATTTATTTTTGGCTCTTCTGTGCCTGGTGCTGGTGACAAGGCAGGGGTCCTGAACAGCCCAGTGACTGTACCTGACATGATGGGGTCTGTTCTATTTTTGGTAACAGGAGCCATGGAGTCCTTTATTCTCTACATCACCTCAGTGTTTATATACACAAAGATATAATTGAACAATAAAAGTAAAGTGAAACAAAAAACATCATTGAGTCGTGGAAGATGAAACAAGCACAGAAAAGGAAAGTGAGGAAGAAGAGAGGGATACAGGTTGGTGTAATCTTAAGCAACACTTCCCTTCATTCATTTCAATTAGAACTCCACTGTTTTCCTTCAAAGCCACCAGCACCATCCTAGAGTTTCCTCTGTAGCTGAAGGAGGGGATTTTTGGAGCCTGAGACTAGAACAGATGAATGGCTCTGATCCTGCCTCCTGGGTAGCACAGAGCTGCCACATCTCCCCTAGAAATCCAAGTATTTCTGCCCTGAATTTGGACTCGGGTCCCGATTCAAATATTTTAATTGGGCTGTCTATGGCATAGGGATGCAGTTTAACTGCTCACCTTTAGTCACCCAGACTCACTGAGACACCCTGCGTTGTCCTTTCACTAAATGTGGGTCTCTCCTACAACCTGTGGCTCATCCCACAGCCCTGTTACCCAAAAACACCCCTGATAGCAGTGGATACCTCCCCATGCACAGCAGAATCAAGCATGGTGGTTGAGTTCACCCTCCAGCAGGTACCTGCACTCAACCAGCCAAGTCTTGTAAGAAGAAAACATCAAAAATTAGTTATCAACGTGTTTTCTGTAGTTGCTAAAGGAACTTCATGAAGAAAATCCTCCATCCTTCTGGTACATCCTCAGTGAGGTGGACCAGAGGCCACTGCATTCCCGTTCCCATTGACGAGCATGTTCCCTATCCCATACTAAAGCAGGGATAACCAGAGAGGCACCAAGATCAGTATTTATGGTCTTTTGAGAATTGTCTTTGCTTTCAAGGGGGAAAAGCTTTAAACTAAAAGAGGGAGTGTTCAAATCAGATGTTAGGAAGAATTTTTTTTTACTCAGAGGGTGGTGAGGCCCTGACACAGGTTTGCCCAGAGAAACTGTGGCTGCCTCATCCCTGGAAGTGTTGGGGCCATTGGATGGGGCTTGGAGCAACCTGGTGGGTGACATCCCTGCCCATGGTAGGGGGTTGGAACAAGATGATCTTTAAGGTCCTTTCCATCCCAAACCATTCTGTGATTATATGATTTAATCACAGGAGATACATCGTAGGAGATGCTCAGTTAAGATGAAGCTTAAGGGCACCAGCTCTTTCTCATTTTACATTTTCACTGTTAAATTAAAAACCCCTCTTAACCTCTGTTCCAAGAGGCAACTGGATTCTGCCTGTCTGGGACCCAGCAATCACTCAACCCATGCTGCTCTGCTGCCTAAACAAAAACCTGCCAGTCTACAGCAGCAGGGGAAGTGAATCATTATTTTAATAATCACCTAGAGGAAACATACTGTTTGAGTGGAGAGAAAATAAAAATTAAGTATCACATTTAATTTATAATGTGGCCTTTTATTTTAGAGGAACATAAGCAGAAAATATTCAGACATCAAAGGAAGAATCTCAGCTTTCACTTCTAAATTCTATTTTATTGTTGCTGTTAGCCTCCCAGTAGCAAAGGAAATGAGTTCTCTGGTAATAATTTCCATTTAATTTTCAGCTCCCTTCTGTTGATAGCATTGTGTATAACCTTTTTTCTAACAGTTACTTTAAATGGTGTGTTTTGATATTCCATTCAGCTGGTGGAGAAAGAAAAATCAGTTCTAAAAAAAAAAGCCATTTTATCTCTGCTGTACATGAGCTCAGCAGGATAATGTGATATCTCGGAGAGTATATTTATTTTAAGTTATTGGTATTTTCCAGCAGGGTGAAATTGTTCAAGATATAACCTCTCATTGCCTCCCTCCTTCCCACCCCAAAACTGTCATGGGGCCAAAGCAGTGGAGAAAAGGGACAAAATAGCAACCTTCATTCAAAAGGAACAATAATCCACCCAGCAAATCAACTCAGTTCTGGTCGTACTAAGCAGAATGAAAAGAGTAAAAAAACCTGACAAAGTGGGGAAAATGGAGTGCACAGTTATCATAAGGATAATAAATCCCAGACCAGAGTAGCATTTTGAGATAGTGAGGTAGGAGTAAGCAGTGACACCAGATGACCTTTTTTTGGAAAGATGTTAAAACTTAATAATGTGTTTTACTTCTTCAGGAGATCCAGTGACACTGGCATTCAGATGGAAAGAGGAATACCAGTTGTTTCTTTGTGCTGGGCTGTCTCCACACCAAATCATAGACGTGCTTCTTTTTCTTTGGGTGTACTAAAAAGAAAGGAATAAATAGAAAATCTCCACAAAAGACCACAGCATCTTTTGCTGAAAAACATCCAAAGCAGGGCTTGAACCTTCTGAAATGATGGCTAAACGCCTTAATATTTCAATTAAATGCCTTGTCTGTAAAGCTGCAATGCTTTCACGGACTTATGTGGACTAACCACTGAAAGGAGACAGCTGTATCAGCTCAACCCACTGTTTTTAGCAGCAACAACCACCTTGAAGCACTTCCCCTATTCCAAACAGAGGGTCTCCCGTGGAGCTCTGGGGAACTGTGAGGTGGTTCTTTCTCAGAGCGGGAGTATAAGGGATGATAAGATCTCCTGCACCCAAGGTCTGGCAGAATTTTAAGTCTAGACATAGCTGAGAAGGTAACAAGGAAAATTCAGGATACAGGCAGGGGCAGCAAAGGGCCACTGCAAGAGAAAAGGTGCATTTGTTCTTGGTATAAAGAAATTAAAAGGTCTGAAGTCTGTGGTGTCGCTGTCTGAAATACACATTTCTTCCTTGCCATTAGGGCTCACCAAACACTGGCACTGAACAGTGGTGAAACTGTGATCAAGCTCTTCATATTCAGAAGAAGTAACAAGCACTCAGATGGAGGCAGCTTTCCACCACGTCTTACCACACAGATTTATGCCCATTTACTGCAGGGAATGGGACC